ACTGTAATATTTTATATGATTGTACCCGTTTGTATGTAGATCCGATGCTCCTATGAGAAATTAAGGGCTTTTTTGATGGATGATTCTTGATCCTCTCTTACCTCTGATTTTTTATCAGTACGGTAAACTAACATTAATTATCATTAAAAGAACTATGATCAGTATTATATTTTATAATTCCTATTTGTTAATTACAAATGATGCTTTTGTTGGAATTTTTATTATTTTTCTGAGAGTTTCTATTTTCTTTATATATCCTTACTCTGTTGGAGACTTCGTGGGTAGATGCCACAAGTCAACTGTGATAAAAATTTTTAAAATGTTCACCACTCTCTGTTGTTTTATAATTATAACTATGTGTTACCTGTGATCAATTCATTCAAAAAGGGTGTCCCCATTTTGGTTGATTACAAATGATGCTTTTGTTGGAGTTTTCATTATTTTTCTGAGAGTATTATCTTCTTTTATGGATCGCATTTTGCAAATAGGGACCAGCGCAATTTCAGGGTTGTAAAAATGTTGCTTCCTCATAAATATTAAAGCGATCTCCCAGAACAGCAAATAGCTTTGGCTTCCGATGGAAAAGTTGTTAATTTTTAGGGAAAATAATTGTGTAAATTTTAACACTTTACTTACATTAAGTATGTTTAAGAGAGAAGGAGGAGTTGCACGGTTTTTAAAACACTGTAACAGCGCTGGTTATTTTTTGCTAAATGTGATCCACACATTAATCCTTTCTGTGCTGGTTTAATAATCATAACTATGTGTTACCTATAATCAATTCATTCAAAATGGTTGGTTACTAATTTCTCCTTTCTGTCGGATGATATTATTTGAAGTGACTGCCCGTAGAAAGGCGTATTATAAAACTGTTAGCGCTTTTTTGATGGATACTTTTAGATCTTTTCTTACCTGTAATGTTTTATTTTGTCACGTTCCGGCGAAAGTATCACAAGCGTCATCCAATGTTCAAAAATTTCTGCTGCCATTTTATTTTCTTACAGAGAAATTGTCCAACAAAGCTGTCCGAAAATTTCGCTTGGTGCTACCGATTAAATTCAGTGAAATTTTCAAACAGATTCAACCAACAATTTCTTTGTAAAAAAATAAAATGGAGGCAGAAATTTTTAAATGTCGTATGGCACTTATGATACTTTGGCCGGAAGGTGACGAATGTACCTGTGATCGATTCATTCAAAATGGTTGATATTATTTTATTTATTTCACCCTCCAGTCAGAAGGTATTATTTGAAGAGATAGCCTGTGTAAGGGCGTATTATAAAATTGTTTTAAAGTTATTTAATGATAAACTAAAATTGTTTCTTCGAACTACATATAAATCTCTGACTTAATCTACAACTGAAACTCAATTATACAGTAACAGTAACCTCATATAGTGCATTTTATCTTCAGTTCCTTATTGTGTTCAATATTTTTTTCTAAATCTGAAAGGAATAATTTTTATTTTTTGATTTTCGTACCTGCATATATATAATTTTCGCTGCATAGAATGCAATCTGCCTTGTGATACTGTTTCTGGCTGTTAATTAAATCATACGTTTTTCTTTGTACTCCTAATAATAAATGCATTTTTGTACAACTATAGTATGTGAAGCTCTTAGTTTTACTGCAAGCCCTCTTTTGCCTTCTGTAAGCTTCTAACTTTCAAAGGTCTTAACTAAGTCTTAACTATTTGATTGAAACAAGAAAAGGAGAAGAAGAAAACAATTTTCAATCTGTTAACTTTGAAATGTGAGATATTTGGAGAGCTAGCTGCAAGTACTGATTTTGAAAAAAAAAAAAGGTTCAAAGATAACAGTCATATTGGATGTTCTACTGAAGCTAGTCACAGTGTGACACTTTTTAAAGTTGAACATCAAACTTCAAAGCATCATTTTTCAGCTGCATAATTCATGCAATTTTTCATTTCATTCATTTTTTTGCTGGTCAAAATTCATTTCGACCATTTGGTGCCATGAAATTCAGAAATTCTGACTCATTTTTCTCAAACAAATAAATACTGCTTCTTTGTACTCTGACCTGCAAGAATCAATAACTAGAATCCAAGGATCCTTCAAAAACTTGAGTCCCTTTATTTCAGTGGAAAAACACTTTGAAAATACGAATATGCTAGAATATGGGTGGAAAATTAGTAGGTATTAAGTGCGTTTCTCCATAAAATATTGAAAATGTTTAAAGATGCCTCCCCCCAAATCCCCAAATCTTGAAAGATGTTTAGCTGGTCTCTAATTTTTTGGCAGCACAAACTAAAGTGCATATCATTTTCTATGCTGCTCTTATAACCTCAGATCTCTTGGCTCATTTAATGTATTGCCGAATCGCCCTTTTAGAGGCTGGTGGGACCTTTTTAGAAACAGGTCCGGGAAAGAGGACCATCATTTCTCGTTTCATATATCTTGAGAGAGTTTCACGCCGATTTTCATGAAGTTTGATGTGTTGAATTTTTTTAAAATCGCGTTTAGAACTCCGGATCTCTCGCCTCATCTTACGTATTTCCGAGTCACCATTTTTGAGCTTCCTGGGCCCTTTTTAGAAATAGGTCCGGGAAAAGGGACCTTAATTTCTCGTTCCGCATATTGTAAGAGGGTCTCCGACCAATTTTTTTGAAGATTGATCCATTTATTTCTTGTTTAAATATTTCCATTAATCAGCAGGATCTGTCTCCCCATTATATAAATATTGTGGCTTTTTCGGGGGGCCCCCGGTCCTTTTTGAAAGTGGGTAAAAATGTTAAATGTTTAAAAATAAAAAATTTAAATCAAACAGAATACTCGCTTGCTAAAGTAAATAAAAAAAATAATGTAGATAGTACTATCCCCCCTCCAGCCACCCACCCCTCCCTCCCCAATCCCCAACTTTCTCCCTCTCTCTCCTCCCCAATCTTTACCTAGTGGTCGGAACACTCCTGACAATTAGTGGGTTGAACGGGAGGCGATAAGGCAATGTGGCATGATGCACTCTTGTGCTCCTAGTCATCCTAGTGACTTAGAAGCCCGCGCTGGTCTACGGGCTGCGCGGCAGTGTTCCTTCCTCAGTTTTTCACCTGTGGGTCAGTTCGACAGTTATAGTTCCGCCACCAAATATCTAATTAGCCCCCAAGTTCTTCAAGTGAAAGAAAGAGACTATTTCAGTTTTTCCTTTCATGCTCAGACATACTTTTTGGGAATCGATGACCGAAATGCGAAACTGCTCTTTTCCACACATCTCTCAGTTTCCGACGTTGATGCTAACTTCCTACTCCCCGTCATAATTTTTCTCCGAAAAACTAATACCAATGCAATTCTTCAACAACTTCCTTGATTCCCCCCCCCCCTCTCTATTACTCTCGAGTACCAGAACGAAGGCTCTTAAAAACTTTCAGATTGAAAGCAGCTATTAATTTTTTGAAACAAAAATAAACACCAACTGCACTTCATACCAGGATGCACTCATTTTAACATAACACACCTCTGAAGATCAGCTTGAGTCCCCTTTCCTTCAAGAAGAAAGAAAATACTTAAAAAATTTAATGAAAAATAAAAATGTTTTAAAATCTGAAACGAACTCAGGCCGATTCGAGCCACGTTACAACTGCTCCTTGTCATTTAAGTACTTCTAGAAGAGAATGAAAAATTGGATTGCATTTTGCAAAAAGGAGCCAAGAGCATTCCAATGTTGCTAGGATTATGCAACATACATTCTTTGCCACAAAATTACTGAAATAATAGAAAATAAAAAAAATCATATTTACAAAGATAATTTTCCTCTTGAATTCATAGTACTTATATTGAGAGTATAGATAAAATTTGTACAGATGATCCCACAAAAAAACCCTTAGGAGGGTGCCATTCGGCCGGTCAAGTTCTCTAGTTTATTACTGTCCATATGGCACCCTCCTGAGGGTTTTAGTGTGGGATATCACTTCATTTTTCATCAGATATTTGATTTAAATCTACCAGGAAATGATTACCAAAGTTTTCAGGAAATAATAACGCCATCCACGGTCTCACAATGTAGATTTCTTAAATTTACCATCACAAAGCGATTCCTGAACTCCTGTAATGGTTTCAGTTGGACACATAAATTATAGCTGCGTTTGTGCGATGCAGGATTGCGTGCAGTCAAATTGCAGGTGTTTTCTCTCTTTTTTTCTGTTTGTTTTTGTGTTAACATTTCTAACTGGTCCCACTTTAAAATCACTGGTGACTGAAATTTCTTATGGAGGAATATTAATTTTGTGAAATTAAAATCTCACAAAAACGATTTTATGACAGATTCAGTCTAAATTACACAATCATTTATAAATCTACGTACTTTTGTGACCACTTTTTAGGACCTTCCAAACTTCTGTCTTTTGTAGCAGTTATAACAACCAACATAAGTGATGTTGACTGCGAGAAAAAATGCTTCAAATATTTATTAGTTGTATTGATTTTTAAGAAATATAGAAAAAGGACGAATAAGTACTACAGACAAAGGAGTTTGGCTGTGGTGTAGCAGTCATTTTGAGTGAGACTCATCTGAAGGCGTACTAAGTGAGGTAATTGAATGCAAGTGCTCAGTTGTAGCCCAAGGTTAAAGTTTATTTGAGCCACAGGTTTGAAAGAATTCTTTCAAATTAATTACGCTTCCCTCAAAATATAAAAGCAACACTTGACTCCTTCAAGTAAAAATGAGATTTTCTATTGTTTAAGGCTCAAAAAAATTAAGACATCAATGAATGGCAAAATCATGGAAAACATGTCACCCAATTTGGACAAAGTGAAAAAAATTAATGAGACTTTCCGCAACAAAAATACTAACTTTCAATGAGAGAGGTGAGGCTGATCTTCTTTATTTCTCAGTTGGGTTTTTGTTGCCGGTGAATTTTCTGTAACTAGAAATAATTATTCTGTACTTCTACTAAACTCACTGAATACTGATGCTCCTTGCAAAAACAAGAGCTTCAGACATAAAGCTAAGTGTCAAGAATAAATAGGGCAAAAAAATACCATGATGAATTATAATAATACTTCATCATTTTATTATAGAGCTTACAACTGCGATAAATCATTTGCTAGTAAAATAAAAAAATATGTAAATGCGATGAAGGAGATAAAAACTCAATATTATAGAATTAAAAAATACAGGAAGGGCTTGACAGTAGCTCAGTCCGAACTTTGCTTACTTTTAGACTGTTAAATCAGTGGCTTATCTGAAAGCCTGCTCAGGTTTCTCAAATTAGTTATGATTGAAATAAAAAAATGACAACTAAAAGTGAAAAGACGCCAAGTGTTAGTTTTCTTAAGATTATAAAGTAAACCAATCTCTTAATCGTTAAACAAGAAATTAAACATTAGAAATTACAGTCCTAAAATTTATTGATCAGTTCAATCGAAACAATTACAAGATGACAGCCTGTAGGTATGAATAGTTCTTCGAGAGAGACAATTGAGTGAATACTTTGTAAAAAGAGAAACATTCAAAATAAAAAATAGAGGGGAAAGAGCAAAATCATTTTACAAGAAGGATCTTATACTATTAAAAATACAAAAATAAAACCCGAAATAAGCTAAAGATAAGCTAGATAAGCTTTGGACATGTTAAGTGATAGAAGATGAAAATTACGGTTGCTGCCAGCTGATTTGAGAGACATTCTTTCAGGACTGGACAAATGATAAACTTCGGAAAAATCACATGTACGATTCCTAGGCATTGCAATTACAGAGTTCTTTGGTTAAGGGGTATCCACACCTTTCAATGCTGCTATGATTGTGTCCCCTGAAATCCAATTCTGGTCAACAAAATATGCATGTACCAAAACTGTAGTTATGGAAAAATGAGGAAAATCCCTTGAAAGACAAGAGTTCCAGGTGATTCTCTACAATGCACATTCCTGGCAGCATTGCAATGCTTTCCTTCCTTTCTTCTAAAGAATCTCTGCATTGCAACTAAAACCAAAATTGTATTATTGAGCTATTAACAATGATCACAGTTCTATCAAGTGTTGATAAAACTATTGTAGATTCAGAGAATGAAGCTGACGAGCAGAGGCATACCTGATAGAATGGTTCTTGTTAATTCACACTATAAATTCAAATTAATGCGGTCGAGTAAATTGAAAAATTGTGCCACGGTGTTAAATGAATTGCACTTCAAGAAATCAAGCTTTTTTTTACAAGCTCAAGCTCGACCCTCCATTACTCAAAAAGATTAAGAAATTGAGTAAAAATGAGATTAGATTTAATTATTGCGAAAAGGCGTTCTACACTCCATAGATTTAGTTTCAAGACATTACAATAATTAAACTGTTTCTTTCGAATTGCAGCAAATAACGTAATTCTCCAGACCGATTGCTTGAATAGCGCCACAGTACTTCAGATTTCCTCTTCTACCAAGGCAAATTGAAAACCAAACAACTCAAATAACTTAATATTAATCAGGTGAATTTACAGTTTTGAAATTTGATTCGTTAGTTTTTTTTTTTTTTCATCTTGTACCTTAAAATCTAGCATTTTTCACATTTCAAACTGAAGTGGTGTTCTGAATGTAATTTCTTATTTATTTAAAACATACAAAACGTTCATCAAAAACTATTTAAAAGTTAATAAAAAATTGGTTGGATTGAAAAATTACCGACACATTTCACAGCAATTGTAAATATATATAAATGAGAAAGGAAAAAAAAATTGGAGTGGTGTGTTCCGTGAAATCTTTGAGGGATAAATAGAAAACTTATCGGTCGGTGAAATCCAATTTGACGGTTCCAATTTTTCATCCAACTTTTTCTCCAACTCCAGTGAATGGAAATTTTTACTATTTGAATTACTCAGTAAAACTTTCGATCCAATAATGTTGGAAGAAAAGTTAAAGTTTGTGAATTGAGCTTTAGAATGGACACAATGAATGACAGACTTTAGATACGCTTGAATAATAAGTACTCCTAACTTGATTGTTTCAATCACTAGGAGCTGATTCCAAAGGATTTAAATTGTTTAAAAAAAATTATAAATAACTTTACATGCCAATTGATAGTTTTTCAGAAGAATACTTCATTAGCTTAGGAACAAGAAAAAATTGAATGAAACCAGAAAAATACCACGCCAAAATTGATGAGAAATAGCGCATTTCCTTCATCTTCGACAAACGACAAATTTTTAATCCTTCAGTTTACATGCTGAGAGAAAACTATTTACAGTCCTGCATGATAGCATGAAATGGGTACATTCAAAAAATAAAAGAGAAAAAAGGTAAAAAATTCTTGAATAAAATGAGAAAATTTCAAAATTGCATTAAAAATTAATTCATGACTCAAACCATAGAGAGTGAAGTGAACTCATATTCCTGCTCCGCACTCAGATCACTGTTGATCCACACTCAGGCACAGATGATTCACCTGTGAAAAGAGGAAAATGCAAAACATCAGAGAAGAACTAGAGTTCTACAGTGGCAATTATGCTGAAAAGTCTATACTTGTGAAGTAGAAATGACGTCTTAAAGTTGTAAAATCCTCATTCATTTGGAAATGTTGAGTGACATACTATTCTCATTATTTCTCCCTTCCATGATTATTGCTCAAGTGACGATTGAAATTTGATGCACTTCGCTTATATTTCTTACCATTTCCATTGCCAGACTTAATTTTCTTTATCTACAGGTTTTCACCTGCTTGAATGTGAAAAATAAAAAAAAGTGAAAAGTAGATCTCTTCCAGGTTCCTGTTTCAATACTTTATGTAAAACAATTTGTACAGGGCTGAGCTGCTGGTATACTATGAAAGGTCAGAGATGGCCAAAGATTGGGGAGTTCCGATGGTTGCCACCACTATACCTACCTTCCTATGTGCAACAATAGAGCTTGAGTGAAAAAACCATTTTTTTCTTAGGCTCATCTGTCTGATTGGCAGAGAGAGATTCTGCTAGGGTTTTTTTTCACAGCTTAACAGCTTTTTCAAATTTTTTCTGACGAGTCATCATTTACTATGCTCAAGAAATCAGAGATTTAAGAAAAGAATGCATGCAGAATAGAAAATAATGCAGAAAGACAACAGTGAAAAATTGAAAGATGAGAATATTCACCTTTTCATGTTAAAGGGAGAGCTTCTACGGAGTGGGAAGCGTATACTTGACAAACGGAACATCCACATCATTTCCTTCTTCATCAGTACAGTAGGGCTCAAAAACAAGCGCTCTGACATGAGGTTCAATTTTCTTTTTGGAAACTTTCCTCACTACCTCTGTCATGGAAAGATTCAATCTTTCTTGAACCTTTGCTGGGGGCATGAAGAAAGAATACAGCATACAAACGCCTTGGGAGAGCATAGTTATCTTGAGGTTGTATTTTTCTTTGAAGTAGTTAATAAATTCACCCATGGTCATTTCACCTTGGATTTCAAAGCGGTCCCAAAGTGTCCATTCAGTGTCGTAGTATTTGAGTTTTGGGGCTGCAATAGGTTCAGAGAATCCAAAGAATGGTAGAGCTAAATTGACGAAGCCATTCTTGTATCTTTCTAAACTTTTGAAACCTTGAGCTAATTTAATCAGTTCTAAACAAACCAAACCACCTACAACAGAGGTTGTTGTGGCAATGGCAGGGATAATTTTACCGGCAATGAGTTTACTCTTGTGACGATCAGCGATTGGAATTGAATAATTTGTGGCTCGTAAGTTAGAGGCAGCTACAATAAAATCTATGTGAAAATTTGTGTCGTCATCTTTTTCAAAGTCTAACGGCGTGATGCGCAGATTACTCAGCTGACTCCTGGAGGGCAATTCACTCTGCAACTGTCCGATTCTATCTTGATCTAAGTTCCCACTTCCGTTGGCCATTTGTTCAGATGCTTGGGCATCAGTCACAGCAATCGTCACGCCAGACTTGGGAGTGAACTCTGGAACCTTTACTTTTTTAACCATTTCTGCGATAGCCTGGCGGTCTCTGTTCACTGGAATTCCATACACAGAAGCTTTGAGGTTCGCAGCAGCTATGACATAATCCAAATGTAAGGACTCATTAACATCAAACTCAATTGGAGATGGGCAACGCTTCGGTCCTGACCAAAAAGGTTGACCGGTTGAAGTTACACTATCAGCAGGGAAATTGAATAATAATTGACGGATTTGGTTGGAATATTGATCTTGAAAATGATGTCGTGCCCACACAACACAATCTTCAAAATTGTATGGTCTTTCATCAACTAAAGCAGTTTTAACCGATTCTAAAATTTCTAAAGGTTGTACACCGGGTAGACGAAGAGTTCTCTCGATAAAGTTGGGATCACATATGTACTGGGCTGCATTTTCTGCTGCTTGTCTGAACAAGCCTTCAAAATTATCACGGGCCCACTGCAAAGTGTGTTCAATGGCATTCGGGAAGTTTTTCAACGTACAGATTGGAATACTCTTTTCTGGAGGGTCTTGAGATGAACTGTACGACTCCGTTAAGTGCGGTACAACAACTTGGGTATTACCTTTTGTTCCTAATGTACCTGATTCAAGCAGAGGTATCTGATAATAGATACAACGCCTGTCCATGTAGATTCGCGCATCAATGTTATCTAAGGCGTTAGCAACACCATCAAGGCTTTCAAAGAAGGAATCATTGTAAATTTTCTCCGTTTCCACTCCAACTCTGTTTTCATGAGCTGTCACATTCATTTTCGGATTCATCTTATGTATGGCTTTAGCGGCTGTAACTGATTTTGGGCGCTGAACATCATGGGGCCTGAAAAGGAATTGTCTGTTAAGGTTTGATTTTTCAATTAAATCCATATCTGTAACAATGACTTGTCCACCTTCAGATCCAACTCCCATCATAGCAAAGTTCTTCAAAAGCTCGCAGCCAATAGCACCAGCTCCGACAACAAAGTATTTCAAAGCACCAAGTTTCTTCTGGAAAGTACGTCCGAATACTGCCGTTTGACCATCATAGCGGTCATTTACTGGTTTACAATCTTCTTCCGTCATTTGAGAGAGATCTTCTGGCAAACACTCAATGGCATCAAAGTAGAACCACTGATAAATTGGATTGAACTTCCCTGTGCATGCTTTCATGACTTCTTGGGCGACAATGCCACCAATAGTGGCACACATGGCACCAAGATTACCAGCTGCAGTTTTAGCAAAGATTTCTAACAACTTTTCGTTTAGGTCCTCATAGTTAGGGGATAGAGTTTTCGAGATTTTCAGAAACTCTGCAGCATCATTGCTATTCCATGGTTTTGGAGGGCGACCCTGACTCTTGATATAACTGTGCAGTGCAGTGAAGGCAACATGCAACGTGGACGGATGGTCAAATTTAGCAAAATCAGCAATGAGGTATTCAGGCTTCTCAATGGCTTCTTTCAGAGGTAAAAAGTTGATTACTTTGGGCATTTTCACTTGCGTAACAACTCCCCCTCTGATATAGTCTGAAAATTTAGAAGTATCACTGATTGAAAAAGTGTACGGACCAAGCACACGGATTTTGATGGGAGCACAATTGTTCAGCTCTGTCATACCTTGGACTTCAGAAAATGTTACGTAGTCTCCATCTTCCAGGCCATGTCGTGTTTCATCTAAGCATGTGACTACACCTTCTGTATCTTTTGTGATACCAGCTATCATGGCAGAGACAGGATTTTCACCAGTGGTATCCACCACAGTGAATTCAGTACCAAAATCACAGAATACCTGAGCAAAGAGACCCCTGGTATCTGCGATGATAAGGGCAATATTGGCGGCATGGGTGATCTCAGAGATACGCAGCTGCTCTTCACGACTACTATTGGTTAGAACTACCACTCGGAAGCCTTTGATGAAGTCTTCTGTCAAAGGTCCTGTGTACGACTTGAGGGGAACGTAGCTGTTCAATTCCCCGAGCTGTTGGATTGATGCTTCTGCACGGTTCTGTCCGACACTTGATTCTGACAGATAGAACTGCGAGGAAAGATCCGATAGCTCACACTTGCTTTGATCGTGAAGGGTGACGGACTTGACACCGCCAAGGATGACGTTCTTGGCGATTTCGACACCGAGCCCACTCAAACCTGAGATGAGAACATCCGAAGACTGCATACGCCGCATGGCATCGTGGCCGAGAACGTAGAGTTGTCTCGAGTACAAACCTTCATCGATATCAGTTTGGGGTCGGTCAGATCCGTTTTGAGCCATTTCGAGACGAGCTTCTGAAACGGAGTCGGCAGGAGCAGGTTCTCCCGTAGCTATTTTCCGCTTCTTAGCTGGAGGGTCAAAGGAACTGTCCACCACTTCAGCACTAGACATCGGACACAATGGCCGTTATTCAGCCAATTTTTTTATTATCACTTTCCACTAGTAAAATTCAAGTTGCAGATAAGATCACCGGAATCGATTGGAAGGAGAACAAAGGAAAAAAATCCTAATGGTCTCCTCGAAACGCACATGAAATCAGATACGGCTCTGTATTTGTGAATAATGACTCGGGGAAATGGCCTGAAAATCCTGAAACTTACATCAGCTGTTCATACAGTTCCGCTAACCGTGCAACTGATAAAACTACCGCACCGTTGAAAAAGATCAGATTTAAGGGTTTTGGTGATTATTCTTGTCAAAATTTAAATGTGAAGAAAATGGGAGTAGTACTTAAGATGGGATTTTCAACTAAAAAATTTGGAAGCTTCCAAAACTTTGTCAGAGTGCATTTCGTGTTCAATCTAGTTCAGATTTATTTGTCGGGTTGGGTTGGGTTGGTACTCAATGTAAGCTGAAACTTTTTATCATAACATTATATTGAAACAATCTTACAGTGAGTCATATGTTGTTAAATAGTGGAAAATAATAATTTTGGCAAATAATTGGCATGAGAGAGCAATTTGGAATCTTTTTCCGCTTCTGGATTCTGCGGTCACGTAAAATTTTGAAAATTGCATACAAGGGGTGCCGTGCCGGGGGAACGGAGGGGAAGGGGGGTGGAAAGCTATGAACTCATCGATGAATGATGGTGAACGCTGAACGATGACTGAACCCAAGAATAACAAACCAGCATGGCACTCAATCCTATTAACTTTTCATAGCAGCTCTTTTTCTTGACAACTATTCTTTAAGTTAGATCGTTTTTTGTTTTATGTACTGAGTATCTAAAAATCACCGTCATCATGTCATCTCGGCTAATCGTCAAAAATTTGCCTGACAATGTAAGTGCATTTTGTTGTGGCTAGTCACCCTTCTGTTGCTCCACGATCATGGTTTTTTTTTTCCTTTATTATCGCTAATTTCTCACCATTAGATACCATCATAGTAGTTTTTGTCAAAGTCTATTTTGAGAAAATTTTATTTTTAAGATCAATGTTTGTTGAGCTGTGTTATGAGCCCTCTTGTCAGTTGATCGAAAATGTGTTTGTCATCAGAGTTGACGAATGAAATTTTGTCGATCTAGATGCATGCATCCTATTAGGCACTACTAACTTGAGGGTAGGATATCCTCAACAGCACTGTTAACGGGAGGTCACACAGTGTTGCACCTAGATTTTGATTGGAGTGAGGCCCTAAGTTTCCTTTCATGAAATTATTCTATCCCCTACCAGGCCGTCTTTATGAATGGGCCTTGAAAGTTAGAAACAATGACAAAAATTACTGCTTGCTGCTGTGGCGTGACAGCTTGTCAATTTTTTCAGGGTTTGGTAAAAACAGAAGCAATCAAAAGGTACAGCAACGGAATTGAAATCTTAGTCCTTGTTGGAGTTCATTGGGAATGACTACTCTTTTGGCAAATAACTAGAGGCCAGGTCGGTGGTCCACCACCAACCTTCGCTCTAGAGATTTGAAGATTGCTTACTGACGCTAGAGTCTAGCTGATTTGCTCTATCGCTATCATGTCCTGTTTCATAAACTTTAACCACGGTTATTCTTTCAGCTGTCAGAAGAAAAACTGCGGGCGCATTTCGGAGAGAAAGGTCATATTACTGATTGTCAACTTAAGTACACGAAAGATGGGAAGTTTCGGCACTTTGCATTCATTGGATTCCAAACTCCTGAATCGGCCAAAGCAGCGGTAGATTACTTCAATCAGTCCTTCTTGAAATCCAGGAAGATCACTGTTGAGTTCTGTAGTAAATTAGGTCTGTACTGCCAATTGAATTAATTTCCAATTTTGTAGGTTACCACCTTCTGCTGAACATGTATGGAAAATTAACCTAGCGGAAACTTTGAACAATTTTTAGAACATCCATAAGTATATGTTACTGCATTTGTCTAATTACTAATCTGCAGGATTACTTGAAAAATTCAATTGTTACTCAAAAAAAAAAAAAAAAAAAGTCATGCTGAGCAATGTAGAATAAACCGAACAGGTGTAGCCTTCAGTAATTGAGAATAAAATGTGGTCTGTATTTCATCAACTAGCCATTGGTTTCCATATATTCCCATAACTGGACCAGGACACACACATACCTCAGCTCACACAGTTGCAGTTGCAGAATTCCAGACCTTCTTGTCCTTCTAAAGTGAAGCAGGGAACTAATCAATGTGATTTTTTAAAAAAATTTCCTGATTTTTTTTCTTTGATAAATGAACATTTGGTGGAAATTTCAAACTCTGCAAACAGCTTTTTCCCCTCAGAAAAAGTAAATAAAGAATAGAAATGTTGAACCTCTGCCATCAAGATATGGGGTCAATCCATGCCAACTGATCAGATGGAGACACGACCCATCTTGGATTTTGATCACTTTTTGTGTGGGAAGTAGTATCCATTGAAAACTCGCTCCTACAAAATTACCGCTTGCTCGACCCATCAGTTCAAATTAATTTTTAGTGCTTGCTTTTGGCTATCTCAGCACTGACATTGAGTGTTAAAAATTGAAAAAAGCTCATTCTTATTGCTGGAATGAATCAATTGGTCTTAAAGTTTGAGGCTAAAAAAGTTGGTCAACATCCTAATTTTTGAATACCTTTTACTATCTTAAGTTTCTTTTCATATTTTCCTTTGATTGAGGATTCAATTTTACTCTAATGTTAAACCATCAGATCTATTGGTTTATAACAGTAAGAGAAACGTGCCTTTTCAATTTTTGGGACTTTCAAGCTGAAATTGCAAAAAATTCATCTCCAGAACTGTAAGTTGAGCTAAGGAAACTGCCAGAATTTTTCAATTGTAAGTTTTCGAGTAGCGTCATTCCCCATTCTAAAATTGATCTGAAATTGAGAGGAGTGTTGCTACTTGGCATGGAATATCTTGATTTTTTGGTGTTTAAAAGAAATTTTGCAACGTTCCATGTTTCAACATTCAGCAGCAAGGAATCCATTTTTTGCTTTATTCCTTAACCGCTCCTTCAATGTTCAACCCCTTTTTTAACTCCTTATTACAGGTGATGAGAATAAACCAAGAGCATGGAGCAAATATGCTCCCGATAGCAGTTCTCATAAAAAATTATTGGAATTGAAGAAGAAGAAGGATGAACAGAAAGAAGCAACGTCACCTGTTGATGAAAATAAGAAGAAAAATAAGAAAAATAAAAACAAAGACATTGACCCTGATATCCAAAATAAACTAGATAAGGTACCTTAGTTAATTTATTTTATTTTTTTATTCCTCCAGGATAAATATGTCATTAAAATTGTTAAAGTGTTACTTACTCAGTGCTCGTAATTGGCATAAGAAAGAAAATAAGTATTGAGCTTTCAGCCCATTTAGTGGCAAGGAAACTATGTAAACTCAGACCATTCTTGACAATAAAACTGTGTGCAAAGCTCAATACTGCCGTGCAACGCAAGAACGTCGTACCTCCACTGCCGCGCGAACCGAGAAAATGACTCTCAAAGTTTTCATCCTCTCCTTTAATCCCTTTTGAAATTTTTGAAGTTTTTTTCTGTCATTTTGCACACTCGTGCGTCTAACTATATAAAAAATCGTGCTGAACTATTGCTCTCAATAATGCTGCGTGAACAGGGATGCCTTGGATAAGCGACGTTTTTGGTTTGTAGGGCTAGGCCGGCCGCAGTGGCAAAATGCCGCTCGGTCATCGCTCGGATTTGCAGCATTCTTGCAGTGCATCTGCCGCGCCGTGGGCGCTACCTTTTCAACAGGACGGAAAAACCCGACGCTCGATCTGGCTTCAGTCGTCTTTGTGTGATTCTCAAAATCCAGGAGCATCAAGCACGTGATTAACTTTCACTTGCATTCAATTCATACCCCAACCCTCACTTTGCTCTCAGTTGCCAAATTCCTTCATACCCCTTCTTAAAAGTAATGTCCAAGATTGCCAGATTTTGTTGAAATTCCTACACACCCCTTCCTAAAAATATAATGTCCAATATTTCCTGACCTTCTTTTACAATAGTCTGAATTCACTGAAGTGATTGATCAGATTTTCAAGATCGCTTCGATGGAATAATGAATTGGACCACATTTTCCAATAAAGAACTACTATTTCTGCTCATCCATAAAAAATATCTGCATAAGTAAACAAATGGCACATAGTTTCCCTCTAAAATGAGCTATGAATAGTTTTCTTCAGCAAAAATGTGGTCCAATTGTCGTGAGCAAATCGTGATTTTTATCAAATGTAGCTAATATAATTTGAAGATGCAATCATTGACCAGCCCAATAATGATTCCATAGAAGGACTAAACTGCCAAAGAGGCATTCTAATAAGGAATTTATTATTTAATTGTTCTTTCTATTTTAATATTTTACGCAAAATCATTTATAAATAATTCAGTAAAGGGTATATTGAATCACAGATATCACCAAAGGATCCAAGTAGAATGTTATTTTCATGGTTAATTCAAGAGAGTTATCAGCATTTCGATTCAATATTTTCCGTAAGATCAATTAGAATTTCAATACGAAGAACTGAAGAAAAAATTAAAAATTTAAAATGTGTTCTGTTCAGAATGTTTCTCTGTAATCCGTTCAAAATTTTCCCAAGTCGTTTGGATTAAGAACATGACCATTATCATGTCAACATTCTACTTGCATGGACAAGAATATCTCAATATAAGATTTTTATATTTCTTTTCAGCATTTTGAATTTAACACTAAACGTTATCGTAGAAACAGTAAATAAAACACAGAGAATCACACCTAAAATACGTACAACGGTAACGCAGCACACACATTTGCCAAAAACACAGACCTATGGATGGGACGGGTGGAGAAACGACAAGTGAGCTAGGTAAAATCGTGCTAACTGGCGGAAAACACTGATCGCTCCCAAACAAGAACGTCGCAAGTGCCACCTACACAGCAAGAATGCAGCTCATCCAGCGGCGCCTTCTTGCTGTGTCGAGGTACCCAGTTCGGTGGATGTACGGCAAGCCCGGGCTCCATATCTCGGAAACTAGCGGTGATATCAGAATTTTGACCTCACCCTTAAATTTCCCTTACCTAAATTACCCCATTTTCATATCTAACTCAATTTTTTCAAATTTTGGAGTTACGGCGTTCTTGCGTTGCACGGCAGAATACTTTGTTCCTCTCAATTACGAGTAGCCAAAAACCCAGTAACTGTGGCATGAGAATGAACTAAATGTGTAGATTTAAATGTAATATGCAGGCATTGAAACGCCCATGCCATCAAAACTCAAAAGGCTGTCTTTCAACTCGTCAATTTTTACAAACCTGGTCCTCTAAAAGTATTTGTCTCCATGCACTGAGGCCTCTCTACATAAGGACGATCTCAAACACCCAAAACCAGTTTAAAACCAAGTCTCGGGTATAATTACTCAATAATTATGGAAATCTTTTGAGGTTTTTTTTTGTTATTTACTGTTTTGTCATTGCGGATTTATCTGGATGGTTTTCTCTCTCCTCTGTTGCATTGCCAGTACAAAGATGATCCAATGTTCACTGAATTCTTGGAAATTCACGGGAAGGATAAGTCAGTCTGGAAAAATGATGCCCCATTGTTGAACGAAAACGAAGCTGACAAGGATACCAAGATAGAAGGCACTGAAGACTCAGGAATTGACCATGAAGGTGATTCAAATGATGAATCCAGCGATGAGTCGGAAAAACTCGCTTCAGCTGATATTTCAGACAAAGATGTAAGTACTTATTTTACCCTTTTATTTTATCCTTCTACCTAGTTTATTTTTTACTGATAATGCTAATGTGGATAATCTCCACCACTGAAATATTACTTAAAAAATTAGTTAAGGTATCATAACTTCTTCAGAAAAGTGACCCAATCCAAAAATCATCAATTTTAAATTATGCATAGATAAAAACCCAGATACCTGATACTTTCTTATTGAAAAATTTGAAGGATTCTTTTGAAGGACCCCTGAGGAGGCCCAGTACTAAGAAGTATGGTATTATTTGCCTGCGGAAAATATGATAAGAGACTAATTGTTAGCTTTTATTGAGGTGCCAAGGAATTAATATTTTTAACAAAAACAAACTAAAGCGTTAGTATGTATAAGAATTATCACATTCACTCAAGTAAAGGAGGCAACTTTGTCTTTAAATCCTTAACCATGTCATGCTTACTACATGTTTGCAAATTGTGAAAGAATATAATGCCTCTCTAATGCAGTGTTCCAACCCCACGAGCGCCATGTCGCCAAAGGCTCCTAAAAAATCGGCCATGGCCCCTAAAAAATGAAGACCCTGCGCCAAACGTGGCCCCTAAAAAATTGTCGCAATCCTAAATTACGGTTTGATGATTTCAAGATTTTTGTCAGTCAGCCTGGACTGAACGCGTATAGCAAGCAGTTGCGCGCGGAACTTCGTCGCGGCAGCGGCTCAGCAGATCGAGAATCGTACTACTTATCGTACATACTATAGAATCGTTCTACTACTTTTCATAATAGGAAGTCAGAAAAAGTATTATTTAATTGAACAAACTTTAAGTAAACTAAAAGCTCCTTGTTTTAAATCGGAATATCCTTCCTTTGGCCTTTCCCTTTCCCAAGTAATGGCTGCGAGTTGCAACTTGCAAGTCCTGTAACTGTATATCTTGCGTATAACTTTTCACTAGTGCGCCGTGATATATAGGCAAAAATTCAATTTGGCCCCTAAAAACTCTTCAATGGCCCCTAAAAATTGAACTTGATGGGCCAAACGGCTCCTAAAACTTGGAGGTGAAGTTGGAACACTGCTCTAATGACAACTTTGAAGACAGATTTTTCAGTTAAAAAATTCAACTTCATCATTATTAATTTATCAATATTACTTGGCCAATTGAAAAATGACAACAGTTTATTTGTCTTTCAGTTGCTTTTTCTTTTTTTTAATTTTGAAAAATTCATCTTTAAATTTGCATTTCAGTATCTCAAATTGAAAACGTTGAAGAACACGGAAGATGCAAAGGAGCTTCTGACGAAAGCTAAAAAGACTAAAGCAGAAAAAAGTCAAAAGTACGATAAACTATTTACAATAAAGTTGACAAACTTACCTTTTAAAGCCAGGAAGCGTGATGTGAAGGCATTTTTGAAGCCTTTCAAAGTAGATTCAATCCGGGTACCGCAGAAAATCCACGGAATAGCTTTTGTTGGATTCAAGAGCGAAGAAACTTTCAAGAAAGTCCTCAAAGCAAAGAACAAAAGTTTTCTAAGTGAGTAATCCTACAGTATTAATTCTGTCTTTATATGTTTCTTTGGATCCCAAATTACTCCATTTAGAAGATGAGCTTATACCTTTTGACTTAGAAAACTTGTAAGAAAATAATCATCTGCCTCAGTTTGCCCTCAGTAATCTGAGGCCAAATCAGTAACAGTGGTGGAATTTGATTTCCATCATTTTCATGGATAAACCTTTTTTTAATACTTGAAATTCAAGGAATGTTTGTGGAAAGATTCAGCTGTCTTGTACAACTATTGCAAGTTTTTGTTGCTGAAATAACTGTGAAAAATTTCTCCAAGTAATGACACCGATAATTCAGTTTTTAGTCTCTAAGTGTAAAGGCCCCTTTTCTTGTGGTTGGTCAAATTTTATAAAATAGAAAAGAAATGAAAAAACATGTACTTACCTCCAAGTACTTAGTGTTGCCCTTTCCCTCTGGCACCTCAATATGTGGCATTACTGGAGCCTTAAAATTATGAAATCAAGCCCTTGCTTGAAAGGATTTGCCCAGACAACTCGAGGATTTGATTCTCTCACTGTTGGGTAGTTCTATCATCGTTAATCTATAATCTTTTTTTTTTCAACATTTTAGATGGTAAGCAAATTCTACTTCATGAATACGTCAAAATAGAACCAAAGGAGTCAAATAGTGAAGAGGATAGGCAAAGTCGTTGGAAAGCACAAGCGGATGCATTGAAGAGCGAAGAGGACATAGGAGAATCTGGCCGCATATTCATCAGGAATCTTTCATATGCAGTTACGGAGGATGATTTGCAGAACCTATTCTCCAAGTATGGTAAGAATCTCAAAGTGCTCTTTTGTCAACCTTGAAATCCTTTTCAGTTTGAAAAGACTTGAAGCTTAACCTCAGACAGAGGCTTCTGACTTCCCCGGCTCAGGGTTACTTTGAGGTAGGTTCAATTCAAAGGAGCAATATTGCATCCTTCTCAAGGCTTAAAAGCCCATACAACTGACTAAACTAATTTAGATAAAACATTTCCCATCAATACCCACATTGGTTTGTGCTATGACTGGTACCTAGGTTTTAAACGGATTGACTCTAGAACAAGTGATGTATAGCTGGATTTGAGAAAATTGTTTTGAAAGGATTAATTTCCTCTTATGATATTAAATTGGACATCAATGAGCAAAACAGACCTATCTGGTAAGATGGTTTTCAAAAACAATAATTCAGTCCATCAAAATGTTTTCGTAGACAGGCATTTTTTGAAAGTTCCTTCATTGATAGATCGGTTCTGTTTACTGACATCAAATTCTGTAAGAGCCGATTTTTCATTCTTCAAAGTATCTTCTATTATAGGTTAAAATTTTTAAAACAGCAGCCCATGACAATGGTGATATCAAAAACATAGGAGAAAAAACGGGAAACAAGGCTACAAAGTACACATATTACAGGGTTTTTTATGTGCAATTTTCAGCCTTGTTTCCCGTTTTTTCTCCTATGTTTTTGATATCTTCTTTCATTGAGTATCTTTGGTCGTTATTAAATTAATCTTTTTATTTGATTCAATCGTTCACTCGTGTGATCAATTTTTTTCAATTTTCAGGTGATTTGACAGAAGTCATTGTGCCTATCGACAGATTGACACGTAAATCCAAAGGCTTTGCAATCATCACGTTCCTTTTTCCTGAAAACGCTGTAAAAGCATACTCTGAACTAGATGGTAGCGATTTTCAAGGTAGGATGCTACACATACTTCCATCAAAAGCAATTAAAACCCCAGAAGAACTTCCAGATACCGAAGGATCCTTTAAAGCGAAGAAGCAATCGAAATTGAAAAAGGAGGCTGGCTCAGCACACAACTGGAATACTCTATTCCTGGGTGCGAATGCTGTCGCCGATGTGATTGCAGAAACCTATAATGCCAGTAAAGAAGATATTCTCGCTGGAAGTGGGGCAGCCGTTAGATTGGCACTTGGAGAAACACAACTTGTCACAGAAACAAGAGAGTTTTTGGAACAGAATGATGTCAAATTAGACGCTTTCAACGACCCTGGAGCCAAACGTTCCAAGACTGTAATCCTAGTAAAAAATTTACCCGCTAAAACCACAGTTGCCGAGCTAAGGGAACTTTTCGGAAAGTTTGGCGTTTTGAGTAGAGTTCTTTTACCCTTGAGTGGCGTTACAGCTATTGTTGAGTTTGTGGAGCCCGTTGAGGCGAGGGATGCATTCCGAAAACTAGCTTACAGGAAGTTTAAGTACTCACCTCTATATCTAGAATGGGCACCTGAAAATACTTTCACAACACCCTGCAAAGCTCCAAAACAAGGAACGGTGCAATCAGAAGACAAGGAAAAAACCATGAATGAAGAAAAACTAGCAGCAATCAAAATGAAAGATGAGGTAATCGAAGATAATGATGATTTAGAACCAGAGCCTGACACCACTCTCTTCATTAAAAATCTCAATTTTAACACAAATGAAGAAGAAATTAAAGATCATTTTAAGAACTGTGGGAAAATTGCCAAAGTAACCGTAGCTCGGAAGAAAGATCCATCTAAGCCCGGAGCTCTCTTGTCCATGGGATATGGTTTCATTCAGTTTTACCGGCAGGCTGCTTTAAATGAAGCCTTGAAGACACTTCAACTCTCCTCACTTGATGGTCACCAGATAGAACTGAAAAAATCAAACAGAACGCTCCAAACAGAGGCACATGTGAGTCGCAAGTTAACCAACACCAAGAAACAAACGGGCACTAAGATCCTTGTGCGGAATATTCCATTCCAAGCAAAAGAAAGTGAAATAAAGGAACTGTTCAAAACTTTCGGGGAAATCAAATCCCTGAGAATACCCAAAAAAATGGTCGGAACAGGATCTCATAGAGGTTTCGGTTTTGTTGAATTTTACACCAAACATGATGCCAAGCGTGCGATGGAATCTTTTTGCCAGAGTACACATTTATACGGTCGGCGCTTAGTTCTAGAATGGGCCGAAAGCTCTGAGGACGTTGAACTCCTGAGAAAACGTACCGCACAACAGTTTGGTACCGGTGAAGGCCCTCGTAATAAAAACTTCAGGAAAGGTGTGTCTTATATCGACCCTGAAAGTCGGCCAGGCGATGAGGAAGAAGATTTTGAATCTGAGACTGCAGTTATAATGTAAAAATTTTTGGTCTCTTCTTGCACTTATGTAAATCTATCAGATTTTCAGGGGTTTGAGTGCTCAAACTGTGATTTAGACAAGTTTGTAACAATATTTTTTCCCTAAGAGAGGGTCCTTAAAACATTCATGACTTCCGTTACTCTAAGCCGACTAACCTGAAGAAGCAGGTAAGTTGCAGTTGACTTAAATATGCTTCTGTTTGTCTAGGTATTCACTTTTCAAAGAAACAAGCGCATCCTAACGATCATAAATCTATTTTGTAGGAATCTCCTCAATTCCTAATGGTAGTAATCCTTCATTATATCCTTTTTCAACTATCAGTTCCGTGGGTTACTATTTTTTGTCATTTTCCAGACAAAAAAAAAGTAACTACATTTCAAAAATTCAACATTTCTACTCGCAAATCATATATTTTCTAGGACATCGTTGGGAATTTTAACCAGACAATTCCAGGTACTGATTTTTCTCTACTCAAAAATCTCTGAAAGTCAGGTAAATAATTACAGTCATAACCCTGCACAAAATTTCAATTTTCCCGACAATTTTGGAACCTTAGAATGGAATTACGCCCTCTCGTTTAAAAAACGACATTTTGTCCTAAATCTTTCATGGCCGTAATTGAACAGAATAGGTTTGTTTTATGAAAAGAGGAGAGGTTTTATTTTTATCTTCCATTCTTTTGAAAGCATTTTAAGGTAAAACCTTTACTTTTCAACAAAAATGAAAAATTTTAAATTAGACTATTCAGGTGTTTGAACATGTGTAACTTGTTGCTGATGAGCCTCAGGTCCTTCGTCCCAAAAATATTTGAAACGGTGCTTTAGTTCATGGGCAACCTCATTTAATATTTTTTTTAACAGCACCAAGTAATTGAGTGGCTGTCATTGTGGGGTTTGCATTAACTGTATCGTGCAAAACCCCAGGCTTTCAGACAAATTCTTATGCTACTTATAATTAGGTAATTGTAAATATTGTAAATTTGTAAATTATCGAATCTAGATATCCTCTTGTTTTTCATTATTGTTTTTTTGAAAATGAAAGATGAATAAAAATTGTTTCAAATGTTTCGCATAATTTTAATCTACAACATTCCTCCAATTTACTTCAAAATTTAATGAATTACTTGCAACAGTTTTCACATTTTTTTCCTAACTCTTATAGAGTGTCAGCTGAATGAATATGCTCTTTTTTGGAATGAAACAGGAGATCCGTCACCTTCATTCTCATATTCACTTTCAATACTGAAATAAAAATGATAGATCATCTGTGCTAGCCTAAAAATGTTCAAACTTATCTAACTTAGACTGAAATCAAAGCGAAGGGTCTGAATCAGACCAAGAGATTATTTTGTAGAAGTTAGAAGGCTCCTCATTTCCACAGTCTTACCTTCCTCAGAGCTCTTTTTCCTGTAAAAAGTGAACTTCATATTGGTCTTCATCTTGATGGCTGTCATCAACTGTCTCTAATAAGGTTTTCCGGATTAGGAACGACCCTTCATTCTCAATTTTGTCCTCATATTGGCTGAAAATCGTTAGGACAGAATTTCTACCATCATGAAAAACGCAAATAGGTACTCGAAGTGAAAAAAATTTGAAAGCATATTTTAATATATTTCAACCTTTATTTCTCATGAAGAAAATGTAAGAAGTACATGATATGATTAGGAAAACAAATAAATATAGATACAAGTTAAACAATTATTATCACATTTTTTAGCTATATATATATACATGTAAAATGAGTAAACGCTTTTGACTCCCTGTTCTCTTGTTTACCTGCAAAAATCTATCGAGCAAGTTCACCACCATTGTGTTCCAGCAAAGCATCTGACATTCGTCAAAAGTAATGTTTATAAAAAGTTATATTGCATGGTTCAATACCTACCAATAAAATAGATTTTTTTTGCTTAAAATGATATATAACAGATCAATTTCTAAAAGGAAGAATTTATAATTTGTAGGTAGTGAAAATTATTTTAAGCCTTGCATTTAAGCTAATCAGCCAAGGTAGATTTACACCGGTATGGACAGAGCTAAACAACTGGCTTCTGATTGGCTCTCCAGAGGCCCCTTAACTTCCGCCATTTTGTATGTTTTGATTATTTTGATTTATTATGTTCGGTTTATCGTTTGTCAAAATTTTGTGGGATTTTTTGCACAATTTTGATAATGCAATATTAATTTTAACGTTTAAACGCACAAGCGTTTGAATGTTCATTTGATTGTAATTTAATTAAAAACCGGGCCCCTTAACCTACGTCACGTAGTCATGTGACACGTACTGAGGCTCATGGGAAATTTTCAACTTGTCCATACCTGTGTAAATCTACCTTGCTAATCAGCTGTATCAGACATCACCTAATTTCCTCTGAAGCTTTATTTTTTAGAAAGAAAACCAAGCAACACTGAAACTTGATCATTTGTGAATATGTGCTTCATAATCTAGAGTAAATTCACAGAGAGTTTAAAGGCATTAGAATGTTCAGTTTCCTGTAAAAAGAATAAGACATGAGCGACACTTCACAGCATGAAATACAGCTAGGTTGATTTGGACTAAATTCGTCCGATTAAGATAGAGAAAGTGAAAAGTTCCAATCAATATTTATTACATTTTATGGTATTGATCCTAGATAGCTGTAGATCCCAAAATCATCGACATTTTGAGCCAGTCTATTAAATTAAAATAACTCACATAGGTACACCATTTTGGAGCAAAAAGATACTACCTTCCCACACTTAACAGACCGCTCCATCCTGTTGTAAAAGCTAAAGAACTAAAGAGATGACTCAAAATAATATAAATTCTATTTTCCAGTTATTTGCTTGCACAAACTAAAGATAAAACTTGAAATCTCTGGAGTCGTAAAAAAAGCAATATCCTGCAAATTAAACCTGAACAATACGGTTACGGTTTTCATTTTTGTTATGATTGCATGGGAAAGTTGAACGTTGCAAAACAGAGGAAATCTATCAAAAAACAGAGTTTTAAAAACAACACACAGTCCAATGCAGTAATTGAACATACCTATGTTTTTTTAAAAAAATTCTATGTGGGATATTTGACTAAAAGGAGATATCTGAGCAAAAAATGCCTTTCACTTGGAAAGAGAGTGTAGTGTAGAGAAAACTTCACTAGCAAGATTCACTATAGAGGAGGCAAATTATTACAGACAGCAGACTGAAATGAGTGATACTCTGATAAACAAAAAAGCAAAAAAGGAAAAAAAGAAAAAAACAGAGGATGGAAGTGCTTTCAGAATCCTCATGGTTATGAAATACCTTTCAGGCAAGCAATGCTAAAAACGTATTTTTTTCCCCTTCGTAGCTACAATTATTAGTAGCTGTAGGCATTCCTGCCCTAATTTAATTATCCTTGGGCACTCATCAATGCAGTACTTGGAATTCAGTAAAAAAAATGTTAGTTTCCACTTGCAGAGGACGAATTATGGAGTGATTCCTCCATCAAATTAATCGCCCATTTTCTTAAGCCAGTAAGATAAACTTCATTTGCTTCCAGATGAATATCAAATCAAGTCCCCGGCTACAACAAATAATTTCGATATCACATATCTAATAAAAATACTATACTATACACACAAAATCATCCGTCTTTTTGTATTGTCCTATTTCCTGAATGGAAACAATAATACTTGAGCATAAATTACTTGACGCGCTTATTGAAGGAGGCCCAAAGCTGCTACTTAGCGCAAAATTGTTCCACCATTTACAGATTCATTAAAGAGAGAATGCACTGTAATTAATTAAAGAAAAACTATTTTTGAACAAATTCCAACAAAAAACTAATACAAACTGGAAAGGAAGGGATTCTCTTAGGGTAACATGGAAGCTACTCAATACTTCTTATGAGATGAAGTACATTATGTAATTTAAGAACGACCCCTTGCAAAGAAAATTAGCACAAAGTCAATTTTAAAGAAAGTAATGAGGCGTTACTTACATTATTTATTTTTTAGGCTCAAAAGTAAACCCGTAATGTATCAGATGACTGACTGATTCAAAAAGAGGAGAAAATTGGCATTGATAAAACTGGTTGAGACAAAAGTAAAGAGATTTTGCAGTAGAAAAAATTCTCAAAGACACAATCAACAGGAAATCGTAAAATTGTAAGTATACTTTAGGAAGAAGTTTTCCTTAACTCCATCAATAGCTGCATGATGAAAATGTTAAATAACCTGAAGCCAGAATGCTTCGCAGCATATTCATGGCTACATATGGAAACAGCATGCTTCTAATTTTAAAATTTCTCGCTCTATTTAATTTTTTAAAAAGAAACAGTCAACTTTACTGTTTGAATTTTTCATATAACACTCTTTGAACAGAGAAAGAAAAAAATAAAAAAAATTTCCATTCAATTGTCCATTTAATTATTTTTTTCTAATTGGAAAAAAAGTATGATGGGTAGCCGAGGGCACTAAAAACCCAGATACTTTGTTTCTGAGTGTAGCTATTGATTTCTTATTCTTACTATTTTTAGTACAATTTTGGACAAATGCTTAAGAAATAAAGCAGAATGGGTTTGAGTTTTGACATAAACCCCAATTACACCCCTCCGATTTCCAGCCTGTTCAGAGTATTCTTTTGACCAAAAACTTGTCAACCATGAGTGTAAAAAGTATTTTTATCATGGTAGAGACGCTTCAGAAAGATGAGAGTTCAGGTTTACCAGCATAAGAGTGTTCTCTAGATTGGTGATTAAATCACTCAGAGAGAAATTAAAGCAGTAGAATTTTGTCTTTCTAGACTAAGTTTATGCCTATGTCTCCATTCGTTGTGATTAATTAAGATTGGTCTACCATACATGTTGTGTAGTTCCCGAAAAGTCAATTTGCTTCGAGGTACAGAAGAACTAGCGTTACTCGTTGAAGTTGACCGTAGATTGTGACTAGATGCAGGTTTGTTGAACGGATTGTGCCTCACTCGTGGTGGAGGTTGAGGCGAGGAGCCTCCTTGATGGTTGTTGATATTGATGAAAGGATTCGTTGTTACAGGTACGTTGTCTGAAAGAAATAGATAACAATAAAGTTCAATTAAGGGTAGGGGTGATGAACTATATCAGGTTGCATGATATTGGTGTATCAACTTACTTAAAATGTTGGTCCTAATGTGATATATATATGGCCCTGATGTACATCAGATCAGGACCGAAAGGGCACCTCAATCACCGATCTCAGGGTTCCTCTTTTTTTCCATTATTTCTCTTATTTCCAATTCCTTGACTTTCAAACAAAACTTCCACTTTTTTTCTCTGTAAATAATGCTTGCTTTTACTGATTGCTGTTCTTGCAATTCCTTGACTTTTCCATGTTACCGTAAATTCCCTGATTTTCCAGGTTTTACAAGACTGCCAGCAAACTATAAATCTAGAGCTGCAACATTTCAACCTGGAAATGCTCGTAATAATGCTGGAAAATTCTTTTTCAGTCCCACTCATCTCAAAATCAATGAAAGGAACGTAAAATTTTTAGGCGTCCTCTATTTGTCACCTCAGATTGTATTCTTTTTGAGCTCTCACTTCAATCAAGAAACTTGAGCTACTTCAAATGAAACAGAATTTCACTTTTTTTCAGTTCCCAGAATAGAAAATGGCTCCTTATCATGAGTAGGAGTAAGGGTTCCAGTCACAGAGGAAATATTGCAACGCTCATTTGATAACATACCTTCCAGCTCCTCTAGCTGTCTTTGCAAATCAGCCACCATCAACTTCATGTAGTCATGACTAGCGCACGCTAGTGCTTTCATCCACTGCTCCATGACATCATGACTGTCAGCTGCGAGTATGTAGCTCCGGTTCCCTGGGCCATGAAAAACGATTTTGAAACTGAAGTGGTCCTCAAATTCAGCTAATTCTGTAAACAAGGACAAAAAGAGGTTACTATGTCCCATCAAACAGATGTTTAGGGTGGTTTCCTCTGTCTGTATGAGATATTTTGAGCTTCTTACTTATTCTTATCAGAATTTACAGCAATATGTTGTGGTTATGATAAATTCATCTAAAAGAAAAAGAGAGGGTTGCAAGCTAATGATTTTTAAAGGTGATTGTGATGTGGAGGGTAAATTAATTGGACATATCTTGAGATGCATTGAAGCCATTATATGAAAAGAAGAGGACAACTCAGCAATATCATAGATACTTGAATATCACTCCAGGATTTATTTGAAAAATCCTGAGGACTCAACGCTTAAATATTGTAAGAAAGGTGAGTTCCTGGAGAGTTCTTGAACAGTTGCACAAGAGATGTGCAACTTACGTATCTTGCATTTTAAAATATTGTTACGGTGATTTGTCAAGCTCAAGTAACATGGTTGAACTAGCATGCAATATATCGCATCAATGGGCCTGTTGCAAACTTTTGCTAGAGCAAAAATAAGAGTTGTTTCTTATAGATGATGTCTCAAAAATTACGATGAGCGCATCCGCAAACACGAAAAATTCCTTCCCTAAAAAAATGAAAAGAGAAAAAATTACTATTAAAATAAATGAAAAACAGTGATATTTGGCGACAATGTGCGAAAAATCAATTTAAATTGTCGATTTGGCAACAACGCGACACAGCTGCTATACTATAATTTTGTCATGTGAAGGTTGGTCAAACTGCTTTTTTCATGGCAGGAGTCGGATTGTGAAGTTTCGCCCTCTGAAAAGCACTCCTAACTTCACAATCTGCGAAAGAAATTTGCGTGTTTATAGGCTTCCCACTTCAAAAAGGATACTACAGCACAGGCGAACATTTCGTTAATCTGCGAAAGAAATTTGCGTGTTTATAGGCTTCCCACTTCAAAAAGGATACTACAGCACAGGCGAACATTTCGTTAAAGGAGTCGTTCCATTCAATCCCTGCTCAACATGGCCTACGCTTCCGCGCCCAAGTTGAGGGGAGCACGAGGTCGATTAAGGCGGATATCTATCAACGCGAGAAAAATGTGAATGTAAACATGCCGACTGTTATCAGGTGGTTAGAATTATCGTCCTGTCACATGTGTTTTGGCGGATTGGCGTTGGCTATGTTGAATATTGCGCAATACCCTTGTGAGCAGGGGTTGGATGGAATGACTCCTCTTACGAAATGTTCACCTGTGCTGTGGTATAGTTTTCGAAGCGGAAAGCTCCAAAAAATGCAAATTGTGAAGTAAGGAGTGCATTTCAGACTTTGCCAATGCGCTCACTGCAATTTTTGAGACACTTTCTATTAGTAACTACTCTTGTTTTTGCTCCAGCAAAAGTTGGCAACAGGCACATTAGGTCAAAAATCTTGGCAGATGTTGAATTTTTAGCTTAAAAAAGAATGATAGCCCTTGCACATGAGCCAAAGAATCATTGTAGACCAAAAAATTTGCAAAATTCAGGGAAATGAAAGCAGAATTCTGTTTGGCGAAAAACCTCGCACTTGATGCAGAAATTGATAACTGTATCGAATACGAGGTTTTCTCCTAACGGAATTCTGCTTTCATTTCCCTGAATTTTGCAAAGTTATTGGTATAAGATGATTCTTTAGGCTCATGCGCAGGCGCAGCTATCCTATTTATGGCTGAAAATTCAAAATCTGCCGAGATTTTTGACCAAATTGATGCGATGTAAGGCATGCTAGTTCAACAATGTCACTTGAGCTTGATAAATCACCTTAATACTCCTCCTAAACATACAAGTTGCTGAGGAGATGCTTGTGATAATGCCAAAAAGAAGCTACATCTGATGAAAAAATGTTGAGAGTCAGTAGTTACCAATTGTGCAGCCTTCCAGAATGATAACTCCAACAGGCTCCTTATCGCCTTTCTTTTCAAAGTAAAACAGTAAGTTCCCTTTCAGAACAAACCATCGGCGCTGGAAACCTTTGTTGACCTCTCCTCTTTTATTTAGCCACCCTTCTTTGTCAACAGGAGTAGGAGAAACAGCAAAAGCTATTAGATTTTTCTCATTTAGTTTCATCACGGTGGGGGATATCGCGACTAACTGCAGATCAGGAGACCAAAAGGCTCAAGCATATTCTACGGATCCATAGAGAAATCACCACGGTGCAACATAAATGTTAATAATAACACGAAATTGAACAGAATCTACACTAAGAAATAAAATGTACAACCCGAATATAAATAGGGGAAGTGAATAACAAAAAAATGAAAGTACTTCGGTACATTGATAAGGATAACCTTACATAACCTCAAATTAAAAGAGAAATCAAGTATAAACAAAAGGTGAAGTGGCAACACTGGCAACAACGGAAATAGATAATTTTTCGTGTTTTTCGTGTTAGTGTGTGCGTGTATGAGTGCGTTTGTAATTATGTATTTCAGCTGCCTCTTGTCAGCAATCAGTTTCAGTAATCAGTCGTGAAATTCTTTCTTAGTGACTCATCTCTTACTTAATAATTTGTCTCGGTGTTGAAGCTTTGGTACGTCTTATCTCCGGCCTTATTCACTCATTACCTTGCGCAGTCGACAGACATCTGTAATCAGTTCAAAACCCTCTCCTCAGCCTAGCCATTATCAGTCTCATGACTTCTGGGGAGAATGTCCCTTTGTCTGTCGCAGCCAACAATCGCGAGGGGTCTGATTGTTACAACTCATGAACTCTGATTAAAGAAGTACTGAAATTATTGCATTCTCCATGTATTTAAAAGTATCTTCCTTGTACCACCCTGTCCATACTAGGTATTTTCCATTACTCAGCCCTGAATCCTGAATTCTGAGACAAAAGATGAAAGTAGACATGACCTCCAAGACAATGGCATGTCTGCAATGGAAAATGTTCTGAGTTCAACAAACTCTCCTCACTATCTTTTCTTGTTGGTATACTTTCCACGCCTAAAGCAATCAGAGCCAAACTTCTTGAAATAATGTTTTGTTTTTCGTCCGTATGTAAGCTCTCTCCTTCATGTCTTGACAGGATATAGGTCTCTCTTCTTACTGCCCAGTCTTTATTTTTGACAGTATGTAGGAATTGCTGAGTTATTTTTTTCTGACAACATATTTTCCTTCAATCGCTAATAATTTTCGGATTATGCACCTCCTGTTTGCCTGGTAGAATTTTCCACAAGCAAGATTTTTCAATGGTAAGGCAAAACAACGATTAAGAACTAGCCTTATGTTATTCTGTCACTTCGGTTCTATCTCAGTCAAGTACAAATCATTTTGTCAACTGAAATTTTCTCAAATTTTTGGCCTCTGATAATTCCTATTAGGTGTCTTTTATCCTGTACTTGGTCGTAATTTTTTCAGGCAATTGACTTAAAATCATCCTCTCTTTTATTCAATGAAGTTGAAAGTCGATTGCTAAATGGGAGGTGTTAGGTACATAGTGAATAATGAATAAAATCCCCCTTTTGGTTTTTTTTAATAAACCAATTTCCGAATCAGCACCCAGTTGTCCCTTTGTAAAGCTATGACAATGTAGGACAATTCGTAACATTCGCCTTGAAAGATCAATCAAATTTTCTAGTAAAACTTTTCCATGTTGCAATAAATTTGGACTGCGTTTAACTGAAAGGAAACAGCCACATCAGCTATTGCCAAATTTAACTGGGCAAGTCAATTTTTTATGAGAGAACGTTTGTGCGGATTCCTTTAAAAATTTTAAGGAATTTGCTTCGTATTATAGAGAAAATTCACTGAAATTTGCACAAAAATCCACCCAACTTTTTTCATGTAAAAAATTAATTCGCCCAATTAAATTTGGCAATAGCTGATGTGGCTCGGTCCGGTGTTCAAAGCGGTGCAATTAAGCCTCTGTCCCTGAACCTCTCATTTGATGTGCCTTACAAACACATGCCTTTAAATCATACTATCTCAGGAAACAACTTGTTCAGGAAATACGATTGGCTTATTTACACTGCAAATTCTAAGTGTTTGTGAGAATTTCAACACAATTTTTCCCTTCATATCTTTGAGCCATGTTCAATATGTTTATTGATGGTGAAACTTTCAAACCTTGTATGTATCTTGTTTCGGATGTTTTAAAATCTCTGCTGCCATTCCATTTTTTCAAGGGGGAAAGAGTCAACATCATTCCTAGAAGTTTTCACAGAATTTTCTGTGCGCAGAGAAGAAATATCGCAGCAGCTTTTTAGCATTGCCAATAAGTATAGTTTTTTATTTTAAAAATAATGTATGACAGGAAGTTTGCAAAGTCACAAGTTGAGATGGGTACCTACATGGTTTGAGAGTATCACTGTTGTCATTTTGTCAGCTACTCTGCTAAAGTCTCTTACTAAGACATTAACATTTCATTCCTTATTTTACTCATAATATGCTTTCTGTTTTTTTCAGTGCTACACTTGGGAAATACGTCCTGAAGGAAATTTTAGGAACACAATATCAACATGTGTCCTCTCTTAAATAGTTCCAGGATTGATGTCTGTTACCCATTCAGCAATCTTTGTAGCTGATTCTGGCTTTCTACTTCCGCAATTCATTTCTTATCTAATTGTCTTTCTTCATTCCTCTTGACTAGGTGAGTATTTATTACTAATTTTCATATTTTGTAGAAGTATATCATCCATTTAGATTTTTTAGGGTTTAAATTGTTCCATTTTCTAATTTGTCAGTTGGGTGAGACAATTTTCCGGGAGAAAAAAAGAGAAAATGAAAGAAAGGTTCGATCATTCTCATTCTAATCTGGTTTAGGAAAGATGCTGGACAACCCACATATTCTTAAGGAGCACTTGCTGCCATTTAGACTGGAAATGTTACTTGGGGGTGAAAAAAGAAGTTGCTCATCTGATAAATCTACATCTTTACAGTAAGATCTCTTTTCATTTGAACAAACCTTTTTGAATTTCATTTGCAAAATATTTATTCATATATTTCTAGTGAATAAATAAATGCTTACTTCTTACAGATATACGTTTGTGTGAAGGAGGATGCCTCCAGTGAAGCAGGTGAACTCACTTTATTCCTGCTGTCTAAGGTCTGTAATTCAACAGTTAAATCTGATCTACGAGAAAAAAAGCAACAGGAAGCAGTTTCATAAAAAGTTTTTCAAACTGACCCGATCCATACTCCTAAATGATTTGCATGGCGGAATTCGTCAAGATCTACTCAAGCTTGCTGTAGACTTGTACAGGTAAGATGACAATAAGCCAAATTTCAAATAACGAAGTCCATCGGAATTTGAATATGATAAATAAATAGCTTTTTAAGCCTGACATTTGCGAGAAAATTTCTTCCTAAAATTGCAGCAGCTTTCCCTTCAGAATTCTTCAAACCTGGCACATTTTTAGGTATCCCTGTTGAAGCAGTAAAACTTTTTTCTTTTTTTTTTAAAAAAAAAAAAAAAGATTGGTACTCATCGCTTATTAGGTGGACAGCTTACATTAGGACACGAGACAAGAGTATGAATGAAAATACCTTGTGCATGATGCCTCTTCAAACTTTTATGTAGAATGCGATTCATGCATTTGATACCTAGTTCAGAAATCAACTCTCAGACGATGTATTAAAATTTATAATTTTAAAAACCAGATCAAGTAAAACGCAAATCATTCAATCAATGTGACTTTGTGTTTTTGCCATTTGACTAATGTTAAGTAAAAATATTAATTTCTTCTTCGGGTGTTGATTTTTGAACTACCTATCGAGTAAGACATATTTTTTACCTAAATTTATGAAGAAGAAACCTGTAGCTTATTGCTTTATTTTCTCCGGCTTTTACTGCCCCATTTTATTCTTGCTATCATTTTGATTGTGAAAAAACACAGTGGTGTTATCCATGCAATAAGTATCAAAAGTTCTGTGGAGGTTTTAATTCTAGCTCTAGTATAGTTTTAAAAATAAAATGCTTTTGCCCTTGCAACCACAGGACTAATGATTCTCTCATCTATGACAAGAATTCTTACAATTCCAAATTACTGCTAGGTTTATAATTACAAGCTAGTTTTGTAATACCATTAATTTTCAAAATTTTCAGAAATGATATTTGGAGAATACTAAGTTTTATCAAACTTTTGGGGGACATGTCTATTCGTAAACTCGTACCATGCCACAAGGATGATCAACTATTGCTGTATCAATGGACCAAGTTGGTTTCTTGCCTGAAATCTTCAGACATTACCGGCCTCGAAGAATTAGTTTTAAAGGTTTGTTTTCAGAATTTTAAGGTTTTCTTCTACAATTGGACATATTTATGCTATAAGGAACTATGTTGCATTCAAACCCTATGCACATAGTTCCTTTTAGCATAAATACATCCAATTTTAACTGTGATTGGTAGTTACATTTTAACAGTGTGATGACTGCTAGAATGGAAAATGATAAAACATTACAGTTGAATGGGCCTGTTGCAAACTTTTGCTAGAGCAAAAATAAGAGTTATTACTCATAGAAAATGTCTCAAAAATCATGATGAGCTCATCGGCAAAGTCATGCATTGGTTGCAAGTTTGCATCGGCAAATGCACTCCTTACTTCACAATTTGCAAAAGAAATTTGCATTTTTTCGAGCTTTCCCCCTCAAGAACGATACTACAGCACAGGTGAACTTTTTGCTAGAGGAGTCATTCCATCCAATCCCTGCTCACAAGGACATCATGCAACATTCAACGTGGCCGACGCTAATCCGCCAAAACACATGTGACGGGACGATGATTCTAACCCCCTGATAACTATCGGCGTGTTTACATTCACATTTTTCTCGCGATGATAGATATCTGTCTCGATTGACCTCATGCTATCCTCAACTTGCGCGCAGACGCGTCGGCCATGTTGAGCAGGGATTGAATGGAACGACTCCTTTAATGAAATGTTCGCCCGTGCTGTAGTATCCTTTTTGAAGCGGAAATCTAAAAAAAACGCAAATTTCTTTCGCTGATTGTGAAAATAGGAGTGCATTTCAGAGTTTGCCGTTGCACTCATCATGATTTTTAAGAAGTTATTCATAAGGATCCTAATCCATAATCAGCTTAAGTAAAGCACTTGAAGTGAAGTAGTTATTTTAACTGAAATAAACAGTTATAGTGAAAAATAGCTTGAATATCATTTCATCTTTCATCCTGCTCAAAAATCTTGCTTTCAGATGCTGAGCATAACAAAATCTTCAATCACTAATCAAACTACCAGAAACATATAACAATTAGGAAAAAATTAGGGAACTTATGGGACAACCAATGTATTTTGTAGCAAGATTTATGTGCAAATTCATCTGTGGATGAGCAGGTGACGCAGAAAATATTGACTTGAAGATCTTACAGTGCTCCCTAGTTGCATGAATGTGCCAAGCAATATTTAATTTTTAATAATTTTGTTTCAGGTGAAGAATAATGGAGAGTTATTCCAGCGCCCAAAATTTGAGCATAGCTTTCCGTTACTGTACAAAACCCTCCAAGCTGGTTTATCCAAGTCCTTGCATACGTTGGTCTTGCGTTCAACCTGCAACAATCAAGTGCTTTCAATCCTAGGGAAAGAATCAATTCAACTGACACATCTAGACATATCTAATTCATGGCTTGTTGACGACCTTGGAATCAGAAACTTACTTTTGAGAGTAAGTGGCTAAGTACTTACATGTTGTTTAAGAACAAATTTCGAAATCAAATTTTCAGATCAAAACCAGCCAGAAATTCGTTGATCAGTGATATGATGAGTGTTCCCCTTTTCTTAATATATATGGTGTCTACTATCAGTGATAACTGGAAAATATCAGGAAATTCATTGTCATTAAGAAAAATCAGGAGAAAATCAGGAAAATCGGTTTTGGATTAGGAAACTCTTAGTGCTTCAAGAATTTTCCAATGTTTGATTCAATTGATTATTTATATCTATTTTTAAAAGCAAATAAGTTTCAATCTATTTATAAAAATCAGGAAATTTTACTGAAAATATAAGGAAAATCTGAAATTAAATGTTAGTAGACATCTTGATGTAAATTAAGGATCAACTTTTTTCCAAAACTTGTTATAATTGAAAATCAAATTCTCTAAAAATGTTTGAATCTTCTTCGATTAAATGTTTAAAATTAGTCAAGCAAGAAACAACTGACGATTGTGAATTTGATCAAGTAATTATTTTTATTTGTAGGTGCCAAACAACATCGATTTACCACACGATATCGAAGTGAGTGAAAATGTTCCATTTGAAGAGCTGAATAAAATCAGGGAAACTGATTTGAATAAATGCTGTTCTACCTTGACGGAAGTCAAAATTCAAGACACAAATACTTCCAGTGTCAGCGTGATCATGCTTCTTTACTTCATTAAAACGTTAAAATCTGTTGGTGGCTTCATCTATTACAGGTAAGTTGTACGTTTCTCTCTGTAAATGTCCCTAAATAAATGAGACAGCTTGTATTTTTGACCATTAGGGTGTTCCGTTTTTAGACAACCATCTCAAAACCTTGCTCCCCGGGCTTTTTCCCATTCCTTTTGGTCCCCAAAAGATAATTCTGAAGTTTCAGCACCATAGCTGAAGTCTACACTTTCCCCCAAAGCGATGCAAATTTTGGAAGAAATTACATTGGTTTAAATGGGGAGAAAATGGGCAAATTCCCGGAACTACGTTTTTCGGTTGTAAAATGCGCCGAAATGATTTCAGACCTGACCATCTCTTGGAAAGTGATCCAGAGGCCTATTTTGAACGAGAAAATTCCACTTTTGACCCAAAGAGGGGGGAGGGGGGGTCAGGGCGCAGTTAGTTTTGAGGCGCTGCGCGCAGCAAAATGCTCGCATTTGACAGTTTTTGATCAACCTCAGAACAGGTCCTTCGAAGCTGAGGAGGCTAATATATCTCATAAATTGTAATAAAATAATGTAAAAGAGTTGTTTTCATCCCTTCAGAACTATTTTCGACCATTTACACTGTTGCCAAAATCACTCAAGTGAAGAAGATGATATACACTAATTCCCTTCCAGGTTCGAGTAAATTCGGCAACAGTGTAAATGGTCGAAAATAGTTCTGAAGGGATGAAAACAACTCTTTTACATTATTTTATTACAATTTATGAGATATATTAGCCTCCTCAGCTTCGAAGGACCTGTTCTGAGGTTGATCAAAAACTGTCAAATGCGAGCATTTTGCTGCGCGCAGCGCCTCAAAACTAACTGCGCCCTGACCCCCCCTCCCCCCTCTTTGGGTCAAAAGTGGAATTTTCTCGTTCAAAATAGGCCTCTGGATCACTTTCCAAGAGATGGTCAGGTCTGAAATCATTTCGGCGCATTTTACAACCGAAAAACGTAGTTCCGGGAATTTGCCCATTTTCTCCCCATTTAAACCAATGTAATTTCTTCCAAAATTTGCATCGCTTTGGGGGAAAGTGTAGACTTCAGCTATGGTGCTGAAACTTCAGAATTATCTTTTGGGGACCAAAAGGAATGGGAAAAAGCCCGGGGAGCAAGGTTTTGAGATGGTTGTCTGAAAACGGAACACCCTAATCCAAGGGCTAAAGAATCTCAAAGCAGAAGGTTGATTCCTTAGGAGAACAATTTTCATGAAGTCTCGTCAACAATTAGAATTTGAATTTTTACCTGAAAGTATTCTCCAGTATTCCTATATACAAGTTTTAAGTGCTTCAATGTATTCTTCCAAACCATTAGGGACATAAAACTCAAACAATAAGATCATTTCAAACCCACTCGTACAATTTTAACAGCAGATGCATTTCGATCCAGCTGAAGAAGCATCATCAGTGCGATTCATGGGCCGGAGCGAAATGTGTCCGCTGTCAAAATGAGTATGTCCAAGTGAGTTTTAAATAATCTTTTAATTTGACATATTCTTGTGCAGCTTCCGTGGTTCATGATTTCATTATTCCTTGGCTCGAACTGCATTAACATCTGATAATCTTAAATACCCTCTTATGATAACGATTTTCAAGAACAGTTTTTTTGAAGCCATGAATTTAAATCTGTTAAAATTTTGATCCAGTTTCATTGATTTGGGTGTTTTCTTCCGTCAAAATGCTTATAAAGCCATTTTCCATGTTTCTTTGCATGCAGTAAGACCTTACTTTATCGGATTGTAATTTAATGAATCAATTTTTCGGTCCTTTTAAGGGTTTTAGGCTATTTTGAATGAATGGTTTTCATGATTTAACGGATTGATTAACGTGTTTTTTTCTGTCAAAATACATATAGAGCTATTCTCCATGTATCTTTGCACACATTAAGACCTTGCTTTATCGGATTGTAATTTAACAGATAAATTTTTCGGTCCTATTAAGGGCTTTAGGCTACTTTAAATGAATGGTTATCATGATTTAACGGATTGATTCGTCAGTCCCAAAAATCCGATAAATTGAGGTCCCTCTGTATTTCATTTTCAATAAAAATTATCAAAGAATCCAGTTTTTTGGCAAAATTAGTTAGATGATGTTTCACAGATTGTTGCTTTCTCATGAAGCTCATCTCATAACCGTCCTCTCTTACCATTTTATTTGTTTTATTTTTAGGAACGTCGGTGACGCTATACTTACCATAAAATGCGAAAAGAAGAGCTTGAAATTGAACTTGACGGAACTGTTTGATACTCAACTACCGCATGATAAGCTTTTGTCACTGTCAGAGACGCTGCCTAGTTTAACAACCCTGTACACTCGGGCTTCATTTTTGCCTACAGAGCTTCGTCCTTTTCCTCTGTTAGCAGCTTTAATTGTAGACTTTGATTTTGATCTACACAAACAAGTTTTCTTTCCATTCCTGAAAAATAATGGAAGACACCTACGGAAACTAACTCTTATTGACCAGGTAGAGCATACTCATTTTTCACTCTCGTTGGTTTCATTCATTTTCAACTTTATCAGCACCTAGCTTTGGAAAAATGCAGTTCCCATTCGGGTAACGTATGTTAAATGTCTTTTGTATCTGTCTCCCTGTTATGGTTTTGCTCTGAGGAGACCACAATCAATGCCTCATCCATGACATGACCATTGAAGTGGCAATTAATTTTACTTTTGCTCATTTATTTATTTTGTCATTAATTTGATTTGTTTTTAAATACTTTTCAGCCTTTTGATGTTGATCTCATATTAATAGCAACTTATTGCCCTGAGCTGAGAGAGCTGGTGGCGAAAGTAGCAGTTAGCGAGGAGCACTCGCCAGTTACGATGTTGGAACTGCAAAACGTTAATCTTCGAATAAACTCATCCTCAACGCTTCGTTGGCTCTTGAAACAGGCTCCAAATCTGACTCGTTGTAAAGTAAGTTTGATATTTGTGCTTATTCTACCTTCCCAAAAATATTTTTCATGGCGTTGAGAAATTGGCGCACCACAATTTCTGATCCAGCTCAATATTTCCAAAGTATTTTAAGCCGCTTTTTTTCTTGAAAATGTCAGGAACTCTCTCTCTCTCTAGTTCCAAGATACTAAAAATGCTAGAATGTATGTGCCGCAAATTATGTTTCAATTTTGTATTATTTTTTTTGCAGGTCCACATTGTAGATGACGATCTTTCCTTTAAACGCACTGGAATCGATAATGAATTCTTTTGGTCAATCGTCAAGTATAGCCCTCCGGCTTTCAAAGCCTTACAAGAGCTTCACATAGTAATTTGGGATCCAGGATTCCTTCTGGTATGAATTATGTCCTTTTATTTTCTTTGAGCATGAAATTATCGTGTCGCCTACTGCCACACTCATCGGTACGATCCTGCTGTTGACTAGCAGTCAGTCGCTGAGTCTTACGGTATGGAACATGCTAGTTAAGAATATCCAAAAAAGCACAAGTAGCAGGGTCCAAAAGTGATTATTGCTTTTGATGAAATACCTACTTCAGTGGGGTGGCATGTTATGCGATATCGATTGATCTACCTGCGGAAAAGGATCGACTAATAGGGTGTTTGCAATGAACACCCTGAGGAGAGAGGCCCCTCCATAGTGAAACTGCAGGAATGCGTTTTTCGGTTTGCAACATTGCAGACATCCTGTCATACTTTATTTTTTCAATGGAAAAATGAAAAAATAATTAGAGCCCGGCAAAAATATTGTTCTAAACGGGTTCCATTTTTGGGGTGCTCTTTGCCATTCAGGGGTTACAAAAATTCGAAAAATTCCTTGAAACTCAGTTTACACCGAACGCTCAGAAAATGAAGTAAAAAAATGGGTGCCTCTGACCGATTCAAAGTCAGAGCTACATTGACAGCCTGTTTTTTTCTCACAGATGACTTACGAAACAGCGAAGGGTTTGATAGAAGCCTGCCCAAAACTGAAGCGTTTGGGTGATTTGGACACATGGAAAATGAACAGTTGTGATCTGTGCAAATTGGTCAAGAAAATCCAATCAAGCAATTGGGACCTCCAGTTAATGTACTCGCAAGACCCTCCTATGACGTGAGCCGAACATATCAAATTGTCTGCAAACGGACAGAGTTAGTAAGTACTTTAGTTCTTTATAATTTCTCCGTACATATTTGTAGTCGTGTACAGCTGTAAAATTTATCGCTCTCTTGTTAAGTTATGTTACGAATAATAACTTGGCCAATTTAATGATGACGATAGAATAAATGTTTGAAAAAGTCTTCTCTCTCCAAGAGATCTTAGAGAAATCTATAAAGGAGTCAACGATTTCATAGTGTAAAAGCTTAGAGCAGGAAATCAGATATGTTAGAGGTATAGAATAGACATTCTTTATTTCTCACTGTTGGTTGAAAGCCCAATAATAGGTAAACGATTAAGAAAAAATAAAAATAAATCAAGGTCTGTACCTGGATGATACAGACATCAAATAAAATTTGCTGGATGCGATTGTTTCCATTTCAATATCTACCTTTATTTTTAATATTTCTAATTTTTAAAATTTAAAAAAAAAGCTCTGAACTTTTGGAGAGATGTTATGCTTTTTCAAGTTTTTATGCTTCATTAGACCAGCACTTCAGCCACCAATGAATCATACTGAGTAACAAGAGATATTTTGTTTTTCATTTTGTAAAAGATATTGTTATTCATTTGCATGACTTTGAATTTGCGACATAATCATGTTTTATCTGTGTATTCCTTTGAATGTAAGTATCTCAACCCTCGGATTTCGTTACTTTTTTGGTCTTGGTATTTTATCAAAACGGCTGAAAATATCTTGAATTGTGCAATATTCACTCATATGAAGTATGAAAGAGAGAGTACACAGAAATCATTTTTTTTGGTCCCCGAAAGTTTGAGTAGAAATGAATTTTCTACAGTCTGCTTCTTGCATTGATGAACTTATTTTTGTTCTTTTATAACTCTGTAAGTGCTTTTTATTTTTAGAAAATGAGGATTGGTTCTTTTGTTCTATTTTTGTAACAATTATCAGCTCTTTTAAATAAACAATTACTCTATCTAGAGCAATTCACCGCTTCCCAAACAAAGGAACATAAATTCATTCCAAGGTTGCACAATCGACTGAAACAATTCAATTTTTTACAACAGTATGGCAATGCAGTTTTGGCTATAATTTTGCCAACTTTTGCACAATATCAGAAAAAGAATCACTGAAATTTTTGGACTGGAACCATTGGAATCACTTTCACTGGAATGCACAACAGTTTCCCAGTGAAAATACAATTCGTCGAGGGGTATTTTGCGGCCTTGAAATGTAGTTACATTCCATTGAAGAATAATGATGAATTACTTTTTAAAATATTTGGGCCCCAATTTTTTGAATAATGCGTTCCTTTATTCAAATGATGCTAGCAAAGAATAATTTACATCCAAACCAAGCCATCCTTCCATGACAATGGTGACATTCAACTTTTAGCTGCTTGTTCAAAGTTCTCGTAAACTGTTTATTCAGGGAAGTATGTATCTCTAATGCGCTGCTTCAAAACCTCTCATCTTATTTTCCCTTAAAAAGAAAAGAAACTACTCAGCAGCATTAGTTCTAATTTTTGCTGAATTTTTTCCCGCAAACAGAAAAATTGTAGAAGTTTTAAGAAATGCTGTTGATCAGCCAACACTACACAAAATTTGCAACTGAGGGAATTATGATAGACATTCTTTAATTTCTTTCCCATTATGTTAAATAAACGTTGCATTAGAGTTTGGTACTTTGTATCTTTGCATGGGTTGTAGGGGCTTTTAAGAGAAGATGGATCATACCCTTTAAGCCGTTTTTGCAGTTTCAGATTAGGAAGAAAGGCAAAGGGCCTTGTTCACCCGAGCGCAGTTTGAGCAAATTAGTTCCACAAACTGGGGTTTCGCGGAACAAGTTACAGCTAAGATATCTTAAGTTCCTGGAACCAGTTCGTACAAAGTTCTGCAAAATGTGCTCGTGTAGACGTGGTCAAATATTTTTACTTTTACAAGAGCAGAAGTTTTTTGTCTCTGTTTTGTACCTCCGCTTTCCTTTTTTTTATCCTCAATTGCACTTTTACATCTGTGTTCTTACATATTTCTCTCTATGTGTACTTTTGCAATATACTTCAATTGTTTCGTCGTAAGTTAGAGTTAAAGGAGCAGTTTCTGTGATTTAGTATTATTCTAGTTTTATGTATATTAGAGAATTGAAGTCTGAAAAAATATTCTAAGTCTTGAACCTTTTGTCGGATGCACTCCATTGTTTTTCAACGTTTTTGAATGGAAGACCTTCGAATGTTATTTTATTTTTGTATTAAAATAACTGGTTTTATTCTTTTACTGTATATCAAGCGCCGCATTTTTTTATGCATTCATTTACTCTACTTTAAATCAAGTGTTGCGTGCAAATTGAATCAGATGCTAAAAGTAATAATTTGAATTTTCTTACCGTAAATAATAATGATAATTCTTCCATCTTTGTATTCGCTTTTGCCACTGGACAGTCGCCTAGCACTTCTAGTTGAAAGTATCCTTTTCAAAACTTGTGCATTCTGCTCTAAATTTATTTAAGCTTTGAAAGCTTTCACATTTTTATTAACAATAATGTATGGAGACTTCGGCTTTTTCATTGCTTTTGCAATGTGTTAAAATAGTATTTCAAGATTTTCAATATTTTTTTTCCGTTATTTTCGATCTCTATATCCCTATCAACTGTGATCCACTTAGGTACTCAAGAGTATATATTTATATATAGTAAAATAAGATATAGTTATTCTTTATAACCATTTACGGAAAATGTATTTTTATTTTATGGTGTTAGTTCGTTGACACGTCTTTGATAGAACAAAGAGATTCCCAATTCTCCTCGACTTTTAAAATATTTGGCATCAATCAGACAGCGGGTGAGGTAACTTTATCGGCAAAAGTTAAGAATATTCTCTGATCCTCAGTGTGGTAATAGATTGCTCTCAGCAATATCTCCGTTTGTGAAATTACCTGTGATGAACTCGATTTTTTGAAGTTCCATGCTATTAGATTTTTTTCAAAGTCGAGAATACACCAGTTTGTGTCAACAGAAGCGAATTTTAATTTCATCTTAATTGGTCTCTTATTTCTCTCTTTTTCTTGCAATTAGCAAATAGAGGTTTTCTAATTTTTTTCTTGTATTTTAGTACATGTATTTCCTGTGTATGCTGAATAAACAGGAATTTTCCTTTATTGACCAGCCTTTGAATAGTTGCTAAAACCTTTTGGGGACAAATTCTCTTTTGTGCCGCATATTGTTTCGTAGTGAAATTACCTCACTCCATCTTTTGATATACACTTCATTTTTCCAATTTTTTAACTTTTTAAGTTTGTTGACAATCGGGCCAGAGGACAAAATACTTGTTTGCAGTCCTCTGCTTAAAAAGTTTGAGCTAAGATGTAGTGAAAAACGGGCTTCAACAAAAATCATAAAAGAAGTGGTTAAATAAGATAAAATTTTAAAATTATTTTTTCCTTGTTGAAATCCAGCTTCAAAAGTTATCTCACCATAAAATAGACATTTTCATTCACCATTCGATTTATTAAGCCCCTGTGCGGAGGCAGAAAGTAATATTTTTCTTTTCTGTCCCAAAATCCTCTCAATTTTTCTAGTGAAATTATTTTAAGAAGATAAAGAACTTTGATTTTTACTCCTTCGAATAAAAGCAGCTATTCAGTGGTTGATCTTCGGAGGTACATACCTCCGCTGAAAGGTAAATGACGTTTATTCATAATGCCTTGCTTTTAAGACTGATAGTTTTAAGTTTTTTTTTCCTAATGTACGGGGTTCAAGCTCTTCTAAATAAACATCGCAGCTTCTGTGGTGAAACACTTCTCACCTTATCTCCAGTACACAGTGTAAACTTACAATTTTGATCCTTGAGAGTTTTTTATGACTTCAGAAGAGAAGATTCCATGCATTTTTGGTGAATCGTCTATTGAAGCAATTTTAGATGCCTATTAAGACAAAAATGGCACTCAACTCTCCTCCAACCGTTATCTTTGGTTAAAAGCATTTATGCTGAGAATCGGAAATTTTTTGTTGTTTTACTTAGATCTCCAAATTTTTTAAATCGTCGCAGTATTCAACTGCGGGTTGTGACATATTTTGCTTCATGTATCGTAAGCGTTGTGACTGCAGATATTCATTTTCTCTGAGTCATTTCTTTTGATTTTCTTGGTTGATTTCTATGATTTCACATACTATCTTCAAGGAGACGAGTTTACTTTTTTCGAAATTTCAACTCATGACTCAGATCTTACACCATCGCCAATTAATGCTACCCTCTAAAAGGTAGTAACACCCATAGGAAGTTGGGTCTCATATCAGTCAGAGGTGGACCCTGCCACAAGTATTTAAAAAAGAAGTTGCTATTGTCATCCAAGACCTTGAATCCCAACTATATTATTTTTCTCTGTTGTTTTCCGACCTTGTTTTGCACAGCCGTATAATTATCCTCCGTAAATATACTGTGTATAGAAAGCAGGCAACTGCTCACTAAATATTCTAGAATTAATATCTGTACACTTTCCGTTGTTTCACTTTGTAAATTAATTTGTCCCTCTGTATCAGCGTTTGATAAGTGATGACAGCTTGTAGCCAGACCTCTCATGTGAATGGTGGAACCTCAAATTTAATTGCCAGGATCACAGTGGATCTTATACTCAAGCTTCTATGCTACAATCCCGAAAATATCAGTGAATAATATTCTGTAATCTTCAAATCATAATGATTTCACTGAGATCGTTACTCACACAGAACATGATGTGTAAATTTTATCCAAAAATTCTCAACAATTTTCCAGGAGCCATAAAAATGTTTGATACAAGCACAGAACAAGTTCATAATTTTGCAAGGAACAAAAACCCAAACGAAATGCAGTGCATACCTATTTTTAGGCACCATACCAAGCTAGGTTTCCTTATTTTTGTCAGCAAACCTATTATTTAATGTGTTAAGTATAGTAGACTCAACTTAGGGCCTATATTGAAATCGGGGAAACTGAGAACACGATTCCAACTGTAAAACGTTTATACCCTAGAACAACCTAGCTGTAATCAATTAGTTTCCTATCATAGAGAGACCTCATTCAGATCATTTCATTTCTTCATCCCTTAAAATAATTAATTTTGAGCCCAAAGCAATCCATTGTTGAGCTAGACAAGAATAATTTTCGGTTGACTTAAACTTCAACTCAGAGAGAGGTATTCCTAATAGGTCTGGCTACCAGCAATAAGGAATGTATTAATTTTTAAATGTGCTAAGTATCGAATTAGATTAGAACATCTTGAACTTTTTTTAATTTTAATTATTTTCTTGTCGACTTGTGGGTTGTTTGTCAGCGGAAGTTCTTTCCCCAAAATGTGAAAGTTCATGATACCGACCAAGGCAACGGAGCTCTAGATGATGATATAATTGGTGGGTGTAAAAACTTCCATTTTTCAATCAAATTGACTCTGAGGTAGTTGTGAGAATTCGATGAGAGATCTCAAAACTGCACTCTGATAAAGATAAAGTTTGCTGAAAAAATGCCAAATCAAGAATGCTCCTACATTAATTTCTTTTAATCATTTTTAAAATTAGAAAAATGAGCCCATTTTATAATCAATTCTAATTGTGATATTACTTTATTAATTATATCAAATCCAGATCATAAACAAGTTTTATTTCTTGTCTATCCGTCATTTTGTCGAAAGATTGTTTCTTGAAGAAAAATTATTCTGTCCACAATGTATACATTATCCATTGCAGCCTCATTTTTTTGTGCCCTTGAAAATTCTGCAGAAGCTCACAAATTTCAATACGAAAATACTAGATTTTTTCGCAAGAAGTAGACAGTAAATGTAGTAAGAAGGAGACATCATATTTTTCTCTCACCATTATACCAAATTTTGGCATTTTGCCATTTATTCCTTACATAATATGCATCGATCCATTACTGGGATTTATGTAAAGTCTCACTGATTCCTCTTGTATCCCATTCAAATTTTCTTTTACAGTTTGATAGACAGTTGTCACTAAATTCAAGCAAATTTGTAAGAACAATGTGGGAAATTTCCAAAATTCTGAGAAATGATGAGTCTCGGAAAAAATATGATTCTCACTGAGCAAAGAAGGGCGTGTCTACAGCTGTCTGCCTCATTTTTCAAATTATTTCCATGGGAAAATTATTTGATTTTCACAAAGGGTTTAATGTTAATTTCTTTCATTTTTTACTGCTGTGATGTCATATTGTGAATCAACAATTCTTCTTTTAAACCAATCCATTCATAAATTTCATCCTTCTTGTCTATATTCTGTAGTGTTCAATTCTCTCCAGTAAAAATGAATGATGGTATCACATTCATCCTTTGATAAACAATTATCCTTAATGAGAAATGATGAACAAACTGTAGTTGGCTTTGAGAAACAGGGCCTTATCTTTCGGGGTGAAATTTTAAAGCAGAGGGAATTCTCATAGAAAGTCACCATCAGTAAAATTGAGTTACCAATGGGGAGTGCTTGTCTTTAGAAGAATTAATTAGTCTCAAAACCAAGATTATTTAGTGCTATAACTCCAAATGTTAGTGCACATACACATTTTTGAATTTTCACCGCATTTGCGCCTGAAAATAATCTCCCTCGCTTTAATGCAGTGACTTTAATTACTCAAATTCGAACTTTCGAGGGATGAGGCTCCTGTCTTGTTCATATCCTTCCACTAACAGTAATGACCGATTTATGAAGCTATTCTTTCCAAATAAAATTCTAAGTTTCAACTTGTTTTGAAATCATGTTTATTTTTCTTTTTGAAAAGTGAAGGATTTGAAATAAATAAATGAGTCTCAAACAAAATATGTTTTTCTTCTCTTTGTTTGAATTGTTTCAGTCAATACAATTAGTAAGTAAACAGTAACACATTAGAGCTAAGCAGTCTTTTTTATATGCAAAAGGGTACATAATTATAGGTAAAATCAGCGATCCATTCTAGTAACGCAGCTCTCAGTAATGGAGCAAGTGACTTTGAGACTGTCCTTCAAAATCCAGCGAGTCTTGAAACTGTTCGCCTTTCAAACAAAATATATCCTGGTTGAACGGATAGCGTATCCAAGACTCGGCTTTCTTCATACACCAGTTAATCTCAAGTGAATCTGGTGTGAGACAGTTTTCAGTATCAGTTATAAAAATTCTGCAAAAGAATGAGAATCAGGAGTCAGTCATATATTTCTGCATGATAGTGGATGACCTCCATGTATACCGTCTATACCATAGAATAACATCTCGAAAATTGAGCATTATTGACTAGAATAACATCCAACGAAATCTCACTCCAAACGCTAAGTTTTTATTTGTAATAATACATAAGACCAGTTAGTGACGCTAAGCTTTAATCCTCTCCTCTCCTAAGTGTGTCACACAAAATTCAAGCGCTAGCCTACGTGCATTTACTTTAAGTGCAAAATGTAAAACGTGCTGAAGTGAATCTTTCCTTTGTAAAAGTTACTTAGCATGCCTGGACTGAAGGTATAATCAAATTGCTTACTGTTTTGTAGAAACATCGAGAGAATCAGGTTCTTGTATCGTGTTTCCTCTTAAATCACCGTTGAATGAGTCAGTAGCAAGCGAATAATGCAAATCGTTCTCTTTGGTTGTCAATGATAAAGCTGTGTGTGGTCTTGGAACATCATAAAGTGGCTCCTCTGAGCCTATTTTCTGGAATTAGAGTTTTTCAGTTATTTTCATACGGAGGCCATCATTTATTTGAGTTATTGTCCTCTACCAACCCCATCATGAACTCATTTTTTCTCTGCAGCCAGGAAAACATGTTGAGTTTCCACGATTGTCAGTTCAATACTTTTAGGAAATCTTATTTTTCAAGAAGAAAACTGAGAAAGACCCTGAATTAAAATGAAATCACTCTTTCATGCGAAATCACCTCACAAGATTACTCCTCTGAAACTCAGGGTATCTCTTATCAAGAAAAATCTGGCAGTTGTCGGTATTTAAAGTCAGGCATTTTTTCCTCCAAACCCTTCTTTAAATAAATAAATAAATAAATAAATAAATAAATAAATTAAAAAAATAGGAAAATCAAAATGCTTAAGGAATTTTTAAAAGGGTAATTAAAATGTTAGTATGGATCTGGAATGTTAAAATAACTGGAATGATTCTTGGACGTAGCAAACAAGATCTTTATGTATCAACAAATATTTTGGTCTAATAATTATCTATCAACTTTATTACATGCATAAATAATAATAATAATAAAAAAAAAATGACGGTTGAGCAACAAAAATTCACTTAAAAATAGTCAAACACACATGCATAAAGAGAAGAGCACAAAATTCAGTAGTTATAAGGTTCTGAGAGCTTGACTTAACGTAATATAAATTAAATGAGCAATCTTTTGGACTTCTTAATCAACGACTGATTTGAGCATTTCAGCATTCGTGAAAAATACTATGAAAATAATCAACAGCATGGTTCAATTAAATTATCAAATTATTCGCGTCAAGATTACCTTGTTTTTTGAGATTATTTCATCAAAGTCTGGTTTGATCAAAGTGCCATCTATAGAGTCTAACGTGTTAATTTGAGCTGGGAGGATAAAATTCACATATGTAGGGTTTTGATTCTGAGAAAGGCGCTTAATTTTTAGTGGTAACGGGGGTGGAATAGTGTAGCCAATTGGTAAATCGTCCTTCGAAATGTCAACCCGAGGAGATTTGGATCTTGTCTCCTCTCGTGTAGGAAATTCCAACTCCGCGCTTGTTAGCTCAATGCTGTCACTATCTGCGGAAAAAAAAGAAAAGATAAACATCTCGAATAGTTTTACTTGAAAGAATATAAAATGAATATACGTAAAGAATTATGAAAGATTAAAATGATTAAAATGGAAATCGATTATGAACTCGTCCAACATAGATGCCTCTGAGAAATTGAGAAATATCTCAAAATCTGTCAAAATTTGACAGTATTTGTATCATCTGTAGCGTCAGATAGAGCCATCATCAGATTATCATCGTGAAGTTGTTCGTTTTGAACGAAGTTAGTGATGATACTCGCATTTTTCGAATTAAAACCTCTTTCTACCGGTAAGTTTTTTTTTCTTTTTTTTTTTTCATTAGAATGCCCTCTTAGTCCTCTCCCCTTAAGTAGAGATGCATTTAAAAGGTCAGCTCCTTTTCCTTTCTTGCCAGGCCATTTCAAGTTCATAACCTTCGTCTTGCCGATAAAGATATAACGTAACTTGAAAATAGGGTTGAAATCACAAGCTGGCCCCCTGCTTATAAAGGATCCGAGGAGTCAGAATTTTTGGTCTAAAAAAACTCCCTTGAGTGAGTCCCGTGGATCGCGCGATTGGCGAAAAACGCGCATTTGAGAAGCTTTCAAAGACAGTCACTAAAACTCATTTTTGACCGTTTCTTCGGCCTAGGAAGCCGCAAGACGCCTCGGAACAACACGCAATTGATTCTACGCCTTGAACTATATGTAGGATTTAACACTAATCTCGAAATATTTTATCCAGTCCAAAATCGAGGAAAATCGACAGGGGTTATATACACGGACTAAATTTTCCGGGTGAAAATCGAAAGTTCTTCGATCGGGTTGAAACCGGACAAATCCCCTTGGAAATGACCCTCGACTCCTCTGAATCGGCGCAAAATGCGCGTTTGGTGAAATTTCAAAACGGTCCAAAGCACTCGTCTTTGATCGTTTCGCGGCTCAGGAAGCCGCAGGGAGCTTTTCGGATCCATGCGCAATCGGTTCCATGCCTCAATCTACGTCTGGTCAGTAGGGTACCTCGATTTTTTTTTCCCCCGCCCAAAATAGTCAAGAAAAATCAACAGGACACACGGGATAAGTTACAGCATGAAGCCTAAATTCATAAACGTCTCCAATTTGAAATTCGTGAAAAACTAAGATTTTCCTTCATTTTCGCGTGATACCACATCACATACCTCTTCCCAAGTGTGAATAGTTGCGCACTCGATTTCCGCATTCAACGATGAGAGCGTAAAACCTGCATTCATAAACGTCAGTAAGTTGAGATTCGTGAAAAACCAGAATTTCCCTCACTCTGGCGTGATACCACATCACATTCCTTTTCCTGAGTACGAATTGAACGTATTTCTGCCAAACGGAACTATGTGCATTATGACGTGAGCCCTGGCATGCAGTTATTCCTATGGGTCTCAGGGCTCACGTTTTGATGCAGATAGTTCCGTTTGGCAGAAATACGTCCAATTGTTACGCGTTTGATTTCGGAATTCAACGACGATGGAACAAAACCTACATTCATAAACGTCACTAACGTCAGTAATTCGAGGCAATATTTGCCTTCATTCTCGCGCTATACCACATCATATGCTTCCTCCAGGAATCCAGGGTTCGAATAGTCACGTGATGCGAGCATAATGCCTACATTCGTAAACGTCCGTAATATGAGATACGTGAAAAATTAGGATTTTCCTTATTTTTCACGTGATACCACATTACATACCTCTTCCCGAGTATATCGACGGTGAAAGTCGGCAATCACGTAACTCGTTTGCGGTGTCTGAAAATCTCCGCCTCTACGTCATTTTTTTAAAGGAGAACAAATTGATATTATTTCTTGAAGTTTTTGCAGAATTTTCTTCGCATTGAGAATAAAAATCATGACAGTTTTAAAGAATTGCCGTTGAGTAGTTTTCCATTTAAAAAATAAAGTATGACAGGAAGTCTGCGACGTCGCAAACCGAGTTATGTGATTGCCGACTTTCACCGTCGATATGTAGTTGCGCACTTGGTTTCCGCATTCAACGATGAGACGAGCGCACAACTCTGGTAAAAATTGGCGATAGGAGCTGCGTTTCAAAATACCATAGGAGTTCTTATAGCCGACTAAAGAAGGCTATTGAAAATCATATAGCTGGCTGTAGAAAGCGGAGCAAATCGTGTAGCCGGGCTATACGAAGCTACGTGTATAAAAAAGTATACAGTCGGGCTATAGTTCCTATCGCTGGGCTTTACACTTTATCGCCATTGGCTATAAAGGGCTATGAAATTGTGTAGAAATTCGTGTGCTTTGGAAATCATTAAGTTTGATACGCAACTACCTTAATATTTACAAAACACACATTATCTTTTCCTTTAAAACATATTTTTTTCATCAATTAAAGTAAGAATAATCCATACAGACTGTGCAAACATTTCAAAATCATGAGTTGAAAAACGCTGACTCCGCGAGATTAAATATTAGAGCTTAACATAAGGCGGAACGGCGGCACACTGGCGCCTACAAACCTAAGTGGATACTTCACGCATTACGCCATGCGTGAAGTATCCCTGTTAGGTTTGTAGGCGCCGATGCGCGTTTCGCGTTCTCTGCCCACCCGCCGCGCCGCAGCGCGCCACAGCGTCTGAAGCAACTATTTCACACCAGAGGCATTGCACAGTATCATATGAAATTGAAGGCGCTCCAACATATTAAGAATGACAGTCATCCTTCAAAAGTACGGAGCTTTCCTCGCAAAATAAATCAAGATACTACGGCACAAAAAGAGGGCGGTAGTCCAAAAACTAACTAAGTCCTAGTATCCGTATTTAGTAACGTCTAGTATAAACTTTATCGTCTGGCTGTTGCTTAATCGCCATCGGCTATAAAAGGATATAAGAAATTGTACAGCCGGCTACAGAAGCTATTGGAAATCTTACAGCCGGCTTTAGGTCCATGGTATTTTGGAACACAGATTCTACTGCCAATTGTTACCAGGGAAATGCCCACATTCAAATTAGTCAGTAATTGGGTACAACTGAAGACCTAGGATTTTCCTTCACTTTCGCGTGATACCACATCAGACACCTACGCCGGAGTTCGAATTGTTATACGCTCGATTATCACATTATACAAAGAGTATAAAATGTCCTACGAAAGTAGTAGGTATGCGATGAGGTATCAAGCAAATATGAAGGGGAATCTTAGCTTTTCATTTACATCTCAAGCCACTGACGTTTATGAACGTCAGTACTTTGAGGTAGGTGTAAAGCTAAGATTTTCCTCCATTTTCGCGTGATACCACATCACATACCTACTCCGGATCATGGTCATATTTATACATAAGCCTTCGATGCCGTGGCTTAGGGCAGCAACCTTTTTTTTTTGGGGGGGGGGGGGGNGGGGGGGCGCAAAAAATGTACGAATATGAGAATATGAACTGCAAAATGTTGATGAAAGAGTACTGAAATCTGCATCAAATGAGTTGGGTATGCAATGTACGTACGGTATGACACCCCCCCCCCTTTTCGACGCGGCGACAATTCGTGGGGAATGACAGGACGTAAATCCGATCATGGGTCGCCTGAGTGAAAAATTAGGTACCAAATACATGCAATCTCTGGAATGAGACAGCGGAACTGCAAGATTTTAACTCTTAGCTTGTCATCACAAAGGTATGAACTGAAGTTATCAAGTGTGAGTTCCAAACTGCGGGAGCACCTACCTGATGAGTATTCATCATAGTCTGGTCTTGGTTCTGGTCCAGGGGATGGTGGACTTTCAAAACAAGGGTTAATTTTGCATTTGACTGGAAGGGTCTAAAAGTAAAAAAATGCAAGATGATGTATTAACATGTGGGTAAAACTAATTCATGGAGTGATCCTAAGCTAAAACATAAATTAAGTTTAAATGCAAAATAAAATATTCCGCACTACAAATTTTCATTCTTCTAAGGAAGCTTTCTGAACTCAAACGAATTACATAGATAAGCTTCATAATATACAACTTTCTATTGGTAACAAGATTCATGAAAGATTTTAATTATCTTAATAGCTTCAGTATCACGCTTTATAAATTTAAGCTATTAAAACAAATAAAAATTATTATAAAAATAACTATGATTAAAATTCCAGTTTTCAAATGAATCTGGTTTGTTTTAAATAGTAGTAGTGGTTGTTTTAAATAGTAGCTAAAATGTTTTTCAAGGTGTATTATACGGTTGTTTTCAATTCGCCTTCAGCTGCGTCCGCAGCAATTGTTGTTACGAATATGTTGTGCGTGCTGATCTCAGCTCATTACACACTCAACTCTTCGAAGGCGTTTTAATGTGCGACAGTAGAGCACCCTGTTGGAGAACAACAGAAGTGAGATTGAATGATCGCTCAATCCGTACTTCGTTCGGTCTCCGACAGATTGTGTTACTTCCGCACATAAAACGCCTTCAGAGAGTCGAGTATGTAATTAGCTGAAATCACCACGCACGACATATTCGTAACTACAATTGCTGCAGACGCAGCAGAAGGCGAACAGTTCCGTTAGAAAAAATAGAGTATGATAGGTAGTCAGCATGTAACGAGAGGGTAAGTATTTGATCGATACGAATCGAACGAAAAATAAAAACGTGAACCAATCAACACCGATTCAGTGGACAACCAAATACAAACGCGGTTCAAAATCTAAAGAAAACTTGCATTTCCTATGAAAATTTGAAATTGCAATATATCGAAATCAGGATCAGTCAAGATTTTGATTTTTCGCGATTTTAAGTCCACGCCTACCATACGCTACCGCTACTCCCCTGCAAACTGTTTTTGGGCACACTTTTGTCGCATTTTCTTTTTGCTTCAAGACCAGTGTATACTCTAAATGATTGCTAACTCTAGGTTCTAATCGGCATCATAACGAGGGGTAGTTCCTCCGTTATGTCCAACATTTTTTTAATGGAGATAGGCCCTCACCCAAGTAGTAGTGATCGCGATTTGCTCGGAGAATGTATCGCGATTTTATCGAGTCCATTTATTGCAATATTATTGGATATACAATTGCGATAAATTGCGATAAATTGCGATTTTATCACACAAATTTGCAATAAAATCGCGATTTCATCAACGGCGATCTACCTGTCGCAATCTGAGCGGGCAAAAAATCGCGATAAATTCTGCCGTGCTAAGGAAAAACGCCGTATGAACATTCGAGAGTTGCCAAAGTACCTCTGATAAAATGTATATTTCTGGGAGAAGTTATCAATATTTTTCCCTTGAAATTTTCAGACTATTTAGATGAAATTACGAAACGAAATTCCCTGAAAAATCGAAAGAAAAAATGTTTATAAATATTCCCGAAAATGAGTGATTTATCAAAGGATATTTGTCAACGCCTATAGGCTCATACGGCGTTTTTCCTTGACTTGGCAGAGTTGAGATAAAATTTCGATTTTATCGAAGGCGAGTTCATAGATGTAAAATTTCAACAAGACCGAGGATAATCGCTCAGATGTTAATGATCCTAGCAATTTTATCGCCAAAAAGTCGTAAAAAATCATACGACTTAATTTCAAAATATCGCAACTTTTCCGTTGAAAAATGCTACTTGAGATCGGCGCACGGTGGATCGAGTCCATAGGAGAGGTCGGACAGAATTCGGAAACTTTAAACGCTTATAACTCAGTTTTTACACAACTTTGATGTTTTGAAAATGGTTCCATTGGTTTCCTCGTAGAATTGTCTTCTGGAACCACCCCTTAAAATCTAAAATGTGACGAGATAAACATCAAAATTTGTAATTTTGGTCAAAAATTTCACGTCCGACCTCTCTGATTGTCTCGATCCACTGTGCGGCGTTGCTAAAATTTCGTCTAAGAAGGGCAATTTTAATCCTGCTGAGATCTGAGACATTAAATTTAATTTTTATATGTACAAACCTGACATTCAGCGAAAGAGGAGTTTGACTCTTCACTTTCGGTTGACTGCTGATATTGGCTTGAAGCGGCATTGTTTGACACAATATCTTCCTCCTCACTGACCGGAATGGAGTTGGCTTCTTTAATTTTGCGCTTGGAAACAAGTTTATGGAAAAAACTGAAGGACGAGCGTTTTTTGACGCCATCAACTTTGTCGACATCCCTGGAGTTGGGCGTGATAATACGCTTGAGAAAGGAGTCCGTTCTTCTAGGGGTCGAGTCGGCCGGACTGGGATTCGAGCGATCGCTGCTTTTCGTCGCATTGGAACTGGAAGTTTTCGACTGGGAGACATCTAAACTCGAGTCCGAGCTCAGATTGGAATCCACCAGCTTGAAACTCATGAACACATTCTCGCAAGATTTGCTTTTTCCGTTTCCCCCGGGATCTCCTGATTCCAGGTCAACTTTGCTGGAACTTTTCATGAGCTCACTTTCGAACGGTAACAAGCTATCATCGTAGATGCTCTTGAGCAAACAGGCATCCGAGATACTCCTCATTTTGAGTATGTTCTCTTTAATTTCATTACTTTTCCTTCTGGTTATCCTCGTGTCCTTGTTGATACCTGTGAAGAGTCTTTCGACCGAGCCCATGGGATCTGAATAGAGATTCATGTCCGACCTGATTCTCAGACGGCAGTCTTGTAGGCTCATTTTCTTATCCTTCGATAAGCTATCTCGAGTCTTGAGTTTTTCTGAGCTCATCATTTCATTTTTTTCACCCGACACAGGACTGTACTGTTTAATCACTTTCTTTTCGTATAATTTACTATTTTCATCGGATTTTGGAGGGTCATTTCTGCGGTTATTTTTCATGATTCTTTTTTTTCTATGCTTTTCCGTTAGTGAGTCATTGACTAGATTCATGTAGATTTCATCTTCCAAATCAATAGCAGGGTCCTTTATGCTCCCGTCTGGGCAGCTGAAAATGAAGCTCTCGTTTTTCTCTCCCTCGTTAAAATCTCTCGTATTGAAGTTCTCGTCCAGCTCTTTGACACCGGTGACGAAACTTTCTGAGTATCGATTTTGCTTTTTTATCTTCGAGTTCTTTTGTGGTGGCTCACAGTAACTCAGTCTTTTGATTTTTTCATCTTTCAACTCCATTTCTTCGAAAGGGTTTAGCTCTCCAGTTGGAGACATAAGAATGTGACCACCGTTGGCAAGGTTACGATCAGCTCTTCTTCGTGTTGAAAGTTCGTCTTTTTCCTGACTCTGAAATGCAAAAGAAAAGACAGTGATTACATTTTTCTGGACACCTACCTATACTTCATACATACTTCAAAATGGCACTGTCGATTAAGAGAGATCGTTGAATTCTCGCTATTTGTTGCATTTTATGATAAAAAGATATTCTATTTTTCTTATTCCGCTTTTAATATTTTGAGTAGATCGTAAGAAAATAAAAAATAAAATTGATGAAAAATTATTGGCTTCCTTTCCTTAGAGATAAAAATCAAATATATACCTAATGTCACATAAAGAAAAAAAAATGATGTTACAATAGGAACTAATTGATGACGGCGTCTTCATGAGGGCACTATTGTACCTATTGTGAACATTTTACGTGCCACTTATGAACTTGTTAGGCCGTGTGCATCTTTCTTAAACTAAAAGGTACATAAAAGTTGTAGGGATTCGCTCACTGAATAGTAGCTACAAATGCAATTTCAACAAATCTTAGGAGTCAGGGGCGGACTGGCCCTAAATTAAGTATGGGGCGGGCCCCTAGGGGGGGTCTGGGGGGCCCCCCCAGTAGAAGGGGGGTCCGGGGCCCCCCCGGAAAATTTTGAAAATTAGGCCCTTTTAGAATGAATTTTACGCTATTTTAGACCCTATTCTTTAATATTATTTTTGAAACATTATCCAAAAAGAGACCAGAAATGCAAAACTTAGTATATTTTCTTAAACTGGATGAAAAAATGAGAATCCGTTGTATACTTGGAATTCAACTTTTATTTTCCTCTTCCAACGAAAAATTGTGCCAAAGCTAAATTAGTATACAGAAGATACATAGAATCAAGTAGAATAGTAATAGTGACAGTCTAAAAAGAACACATTCTGAAAAACACAGTTCGGATTTTTTTGTTCGTTTGTTTTTTTTAAATGTACTTTTTAGCCGCCAAAATTGACAACTGTCTTAATTTTTTTTGAACTTTTTATTGGATCCTTTCTTCGCTCTGCTCATAGAAAAATCAGTGCCGTTTACTAGTTAAATGACGCGTAATGAATGAATAAATCGATGGTTAAATTCTGAAAACACGTAACTCGGAATCCGCATCATGAACCCTGAGACTCGTAAGGATGCTCATGTTTTGCGTGTATCCTTATGAGTCTCAGGGTTCATGAGTTAATGATGCGGATTCCGAGATACGTGTTTTCAGAATTTAGCCATCGAAATAAAAATAAAAATGAAAATAAAAATACAAACAAAAAATTGACAAAAATCTGACACTTAGAAAATTATTGTGTTAATTAAACTGGAAATAGAAACACAGTTTACGCCATTAACAGCCTTTATAACTCTGTTGAGGTTGCCGCGATCAAGTTGATTATTATCTCGTGATCAATAGATTTGGTCAAATCTCTTTCTACGTACAATAACATCAAGTAAGACAGTAGTTCTTGCCCAATTTGCGATCGAATCCGCGTTTTAATAAGTTTTAGTTTCGAAAATATACTCGCTCACAGGTAACTTGGGTGCATGGTAAGGTTAAAACATACCTAAAGACAAGTAATAAACCATTAAAGTGGCCAGTTTGACTTGACTGTTCAAACAAGATTTTATAGGCGCAATGGAGGCAGTTTTCGCAAGCCTTTTTGTCAATTTTGGTATATGCATGGGGACATTTTCTTACACTCTCCTCCTCATCCTCGCAATCTACATCGGAGTCAGTCTCAAAATTGCCTTCACCTATTAATTCGTCGAGCCAATCATTTGAGTGAAAGTTAGACTTGAAGGCAGGAAACAGATCTGCGAACTGTTTAAGCTCACTAATTATCGTTGAGCGATCAACTTTTACTAGTTTTGAAATTTTCACTAATGTGGCTCTTTTAAGGTCCTAGAAGCGGCAAAAAAAGGCTCCATCGAGTCTTCTTCGAATCGGCAATAAATGAGTCCTTCAGGGCTCTTCCGAAATGACAAAAAAGGACCCCTTTGGACTTATTCGAATCAGAAAAAAGGGCTCTCAAAATGCAGCGCCCTTAGATACGGCATAAAAAAGCTCCTTCAGGGCGCTCTCCGAATCGGCAATAAAGTGTCCTGTCCTCTCAGGAGTCTCGGGGCCCTTTCTCGAGGACGAACCGAAAAAGCCCTCGGGCGCTTCTTCGAAACGGCGAAATACGGCCCTTCAAATCGGCCAAAAGGGGCCCCTCCGGAGCCCCTTTTGGCCGATGAAAGTGGGGCGATCGCCCCATCGCCACCCCGGCCAGTCCGTCCCTGTAGGAGTTGTCAGTGAATGTTTTTTCTATCAAAAACTTTTAAATGAGTACAGTTTTAAATGTAAATGTGGCCAAAAAATTAATTTATCTATGGTAATAAAGTACGATCGATGGGAGGAAAATATAGTGACGATTGATTATGAGATTCAGCTGCTGTAACCATAGACGCTGTCCTGCAATTACCTTAACCAGTGTACTTACCCGCCGACTTAAAATTCCTTCAATTTCAATCGCAGGCAACCTATATATCTTATGTGCAGGTTTGGCTGCATAGTCCAAAAATTGAAGGCGCTATTAAACGTCGAGTGTCTTGATGTACACTAGCGGAGACACATACATTCCGATTTGAAATATTTTTGAAGTGATCGACAGATTTTTGTCGGCCCACCATTTCAAGTATCATCAATTCATATTGATAATGTAGGAATTTGAGACATGCCATTGAAAAACAAACTGCAGATCCACCATGATCACTATTAAAACCAAAATGACCGCATCTGTAATCTGTAGTCGTTTCTCGCAATAATAGGACTGCTTCCTGTCGATGGTGAAACTGCAAAAATGCATAACTCGTTGGCAGCCTTTCCAAGTCTTTGTTCCCATTTTATTTCAATAAATAAAAACAAACCAATACTATTGATCGAAATTTTCACAGAATATTCTTAACGAAGACAAAAATAATGGAAGTTTTCAAAAAATGAAGTTAAATATTACTCTTTTTGAACCGTTTAAAGCAAAGACGATTCAAGTCACATCGGTTTTTGCAAAATTTCACCGTACAATTTATTTTTTTACAGGAGAACGGCCGCACAGATTATTTCGAAAATTTTAGGGGCTTCGCTTCCCGCAACAAAGAAAATCCCCTGGAATCTGAACCACCATTCTCATGCAATGAATAAGTAAATCATCCAATAAAATTTGGCAATGACTGATGTGACTTAGGTTCTTTCTGCTTAGCGTGGTCTATTTAAAAATGAAACGACAGGCGTCGCAAACCGCAGGTACGCGTTTCTTGCAGTTTCACCGTCGTTATAGTGTATTTTCGTATATTTCTTGGTTTGAGGAGGATTTTAGCGAACCACTATACTGCCGTGCTAAGGAAAAACGCCGTATGAACATTCAAGAGTTGCCAAATTTCCTTCGATAAAATGTTTAATTTAAAAAAAAGCTGTGGATATTTTTCCTTGAAATTTTCAGGAATTTCAGGTGAAATTGCGAACAAAATTATCTGAAAAATTGGAGGAAATTTTTTTACAAGTTTTCCCAAAAATTCGTGATTTACTGAAGGAAATTTGGCAACGACTGAAGGTTCATACGGCGTTTTTCCTTAGCACGGCAGTATACGGCCCTGCATACTCTACGTATCAAATTTACGAGAGACTATTTCCAGTATACCAACCTTGGATGGATGTCGGAATTGTTGAACAGGTCTGGTTGCCCCTACGGCGGCATTCGGATGAGAAGGTAGGGGTTGTAGTGTCATGGAGTCCAGGAGAGCTTGCAGCCACCTTTCTTGCTCCACTTGATTCTTCGCTCTCTGGAAAATTTGTGGGAAAATTTTAGGATTCCTCTCGAAGAATACTCACGACTCGCTTTCCAGTAAGACGGAGTGGTAGAACAATCAAATTGATGAAATTGAATTTCTCATCACCAAAAAAATTGAATGTTGCCTTAGCATTTATAATGTTGGAAAAATGTGTGACAAGTGTAAATGCTGATTTCACAATTTAAAAAATGCTAGGTTAACTACGTCCACGATTAAATAAACAAATTCGGTGTTGAGTTAGCTTTTTTTAAATGTAAAATCACCATGTGATACGCTGTGTGTGTTGCACGCTTTTTTAATAGTATAAATGCTAAATCAACATTCAATTTTTTCCGCGAATGTTTTTGCTGTAGCATAGAATTTTTTTAGACTGAACCAGAGAATAAAAAACTATTCTCTCTCCTGCAACCTTGACATTTTAGATGGAAAATTATACTCTTCTCCGTTTTAATCGCAAGGAAGAAATTAAACTGACCTGGGTTATACGCTCAGTTCCTGCGGAAAAATATGGGTGAAACCTGTTGATCGTGAAAAATCCTTAAACCAGATTTAATTCATTAAAACTGGTTCGGCGGAAATCCTGGAATTGGCTTGATCGTGATTTGTTAAACGAGTACCCTAACTAAAAATTTCTGATGGAAATGTTGAAATTCTGTAGCCACTTCATTGAAGATCATTAAAATTGAAATAAATAGCGATAGAGTCACCTGTATCTCAAAATTTTCACCATATTTTAACTTCTTTTATTGAGATTTTTTATTATTATTATTTTTCCCACCAATAAAGTCGTCGAAAAAGGCGTCGATGGAGTGATGACTTCTCGGCAGTGCGATTGCACTGCAAATAATTGCGAAGCACACGATATATTGTCCCAGCGCGCGTTTCTTTAGTCGAGAGACTTGAACGCAGAACGAGAAAATCAAACATAGCTGCGATCTAAGAATTGCAGGAAAGTTTTTTTCCGATCTTTATTGTTTAAAAGTTTTTATTTTAACTCTGTGAGCTTATTGATTTTGCATGTATCAATGCATGTTTTGCACGCATGTTGCATGTTTTTTAGCCACTCTCACAGCGCTCTCTAACGCGGTGCAATATCTCACCGAAAACCCATCATGGACCCGCCCCCTCCCCTACCGTTCGATTTCCTGCCGCTATCGTTATATCGAGCATCCTCTTCGTCTCCCTTAAGAGTAACCCAATCTCAAAATTTCACACATTTACACACTCTCAAAATTTCACACAATTTATTTAAAAGACAATTATGGCAGGAAGTCTGGAACGTCGAAAACCGAGATACGCGTTTTTTGCAGTTTCATGCTCCGTCGAATAATTCCTAAATTTGTTCCTGCCGATTTTGAGGACTGAGGTACCACATCTCGAAATGATCACTGGAAAATTTGTCGGATTTCCTTTTTATTATAAAACAATTCTCTGTGATTTAATTACTATGAGGTTATTTTTGTTTTCCTCTATTCAAAAAATATTGTTCATTGAACTAGCTGATGGAAAAAAATTATTTCGATTAAAAAAAAAAAAAAAAAAAAAAAAAATTGTTCAAGTAACAAAACATTCCGTTGCCTCAAAAAAAATTCTTCGAATCACATAGAATTTTATTTTCGATTTTGAAAAAATGTATTTTTCCCCTTTTTTACAGGGATTATTTCATCATTTAAGGACAAGAATTGGCGAAATGTATGTAACAATATTCTCGTTCGCAATTGCGCATTACAGATCGAAAAATACGCGTAATAAACAGACGCATACACGTTTCGGTGAAAGCTGGAGATGCATAATAGATACATGAAATAGGTGCGAAAATCAGCGCTCCGCGTGACTGGAGAGAAAATCCGAATTACGTTGCGATCGTCACGTAATTCCATTCAAGGTGTGGGTAGCAATGTACGTAATATTTTTTGTACGATACGTCTTATTCCACGCGTTGTTTACTCCACCCTCGAGTTGGCAATTACGATTCGGCCCGCACGCGATAATATCGACAAACCGATAAGTTAATTTCATTTTGCAATAAGGAACCACTATCCCTGGCTCTCCCATAAAAGCACATTCCTGCATAGGGAAACCAATGACACGTATGTTGTTTCTAAAATGGACCAGAAATAGTGGTTCCTTGTTGCAAAATGTAATCCAAGTGCAGTCGATGAGCGCACCTATCGATCTTTAGTGCGTGTTTCAAAAATCTCTGTTTCAGTTTTTTCCCCTATTTTCTTCTTCTTCTTTTTCTTTTTCTTCTTCTTCTTCTTCTTCTTCTTCTCTATTTTCTAATGAGTAAAAATGGATGAACATGCAATGAACAATGCATGCAAATTTAACAGAATATCTTGTAAAGGACGAGCCGAGTTGACTAGCTTGACTAAATTGACCACTTATTCCTGCCTGAACTACATTTATTGACGAAAAACTTCATTTCTGGCTCAATTTAGAAAAAAAAAACGTGCATGCCATTGGTTCTCCTATGGAGATATGTGCTTTCACGGCTGAGTCAGAACTTTTCGTCGATTAATGCAAAATTAAATCCAACTTACAGAGGGGCTCTCATTTACGGATGAGCCAGATATTGTAGTTCCTAATTGTAAAATGTAGTCCAGTTGAGGGTCTCATCACAGCGAGAAAAAAAAAACATTGTATTTTTCCATATTATTCATTGGAAAATATACCAAAAACCTAAACGAGTGAAGACAGCTGGTTCCTCGAAATTATTACTTTCGATATCCGAAAAAGCATAAAAATGAACCTCTTAACAACCTTAGATTTTCGGCCGAATTTGGGTCGTCTCAGGAGTAACTTTGACCTAACCTTACAAAAATCTTGATCGCAATAAAATTTCAGGAGATGAAATATATGTGAAATATTCGCTTAGCAAACCCCTTACATTGCAGGGGGGCCAGAAGATTTTTACTGGGGCAGGCCACCCCCCCCCCCATTTTTGTCCGTAGACAAAACAATTTTTCCATTAACGGCGATTCGTTCCTTTCGCGTGACTCAGGCGAAGAGCCTTATTTCGTAAGTTCTCAGCCCGAGGCTCAAAGGCATTGGGTTTCCGGGCGCTTGGAAGAAAAAAGTCACATTTTGATCTCTAGAATTTTTTCCCTCGGACACCCTGTAGATGAATCTTATCGCAGAGCGCGGAAAATAACTGTGGCTACGAGCAATGGGAGGGGGGAGGGGGCGTAAGTGGGTGCGCACTGCTCAGAGCTTGAGGTCCAGTTGGACGTATTTCTGGCAAACGGAACTATGTGCATTAAGACATGAGCTTCGAGACCAATGATAATATATGCATAACAGGGCTCACGACATAATGCACATAGTTCCGTTTGGCAGAAAATACGTCCAGTTGGTCCAAGTGCCCGCCGCACAATGGAACGAGTCCATTTTAGCCAGATTGCAGTGAAACATCAGCACTATTCCCCATTTAAACCCATGTTACGTATCTCACTTTAATGGCACAACTTGGCAACTTTGAACGAGTCCATGGAGGTAGTGGCACAGAATGTGGAAATTTTAAAAGCAAGCGGTATCATTGATTTTCTCACGAATTTTCCTCCCAGAGCATCTTTTACAAATTTACAGGGTGATCTAAAAGTCCCGCACCAGGCACCAACTTATTTTTCATATGAACTTATAATTCATTGTCCTTTTTTACGTAAAAAATCACAATACATATACTATAATGTTATTTTCAATTTTTTTCACAGGTAAAGGGGAATAATTAAGATAGATTCGAGACTTGAAATTTAGTGAGCACCTCCAGCGTTGGGTTTTTCCTTTGCAATGGGAGCGGTGGGACTGGGAGATCCTCCTTGAGGACGAAAAGGTGCTTTGAATATCCTTCAGCGCGGGTATCAAAGGGTAGGTTTTCGGGTGCACCTTCCGCTGGCCTCTCCTGGTCTAACGGTAGCATGTTTAACTGGTGACCCAGAGGTCCCGGGTTCAGTTTCCGGTGGAAACGTCCAGATCTATACGCATCCTTGTGATAATTAGGATTGGGTCACTTTACAGAGCGTTGAATAATATTTTATTTATTTTTTTTCTGACGCTAAGATAACGTCTCACGCCAAATTAAAAATTTCATGAAATAATAGTTTTCAATAAATAGCAAAAAATAGATATTTTGTATGATTTTTTCATCAAGAAACCACGCCGTGATACGTACAATTTTCATGAGAAATGCATCAGTATGAAGTATCATCGTTAACTATTTTTTGCACGTGGATTTGTTTGGAGACTTAAACGCAGGGCAAGAAAAGTAGGCAAGTGCGTAAAGGCGTCGTTGCCAGTTGTTACCGGGTACAAACATGGGGATACGTGATACGAGATAGTTAAGATTAGGTCACTTTACAGAGCGTTGTGCAACACTCTTCTTTTTTTTTTACTGATCCAAAGACAACGTATTACGCCAAATTAAACATTTCTGGAAATATTAGTTTTGGGTATTTTGTGAGCACTTCCTAGGTAATTTTGGCAACCCCCAAAATTCTGAGGGGATCACCTCGACAAGGTATAAGAACTCTACGGGCAGGGATGGAAAGTGAAATTTCAAAAGGCTCGAATACATTTCAAAAGGCTCGAATAAATTTCAAAAATTTGAAATTTGTTAATTTGTATCGGAATTATTAATTAAACCTTCGGAAGTCCGGAAAACGTTTCAGGTGGTCTTTCTGTTAGGGCGGCAGTAACATGCTACCGTACTGAGGCGCTATACACTAAGGGGGGGGGGCACAAAGGGAAGTTTAGAGAGAAAAGCCCTAACGTAGCCTCTAAACCAAACAAAAACATTTGCAACGTGTGAATGTTTAAGGTTTAGGGCGAAAAATGTCAAAATCGAGAATTGCTGTTTCTGTGCGTTTCTCGGCCTTCTGAATGCATCCCCAAAAGTTTAAAAAAAATTGAGGTATTTTTCGGGAAAAGGGCGTATGAGAATTCCAATGCTGCTAAGATTTTACATAAGGTAGTTCTCTAGTGGTAAGATACATATCCGACAGTTTTGCCATGAATTTCTCTCTGAATTAGCCCAGGCAATAGAGGATAGAATAGGGGTTTACCTTGCAAAATTTAGGTGAAATCAGGTTATGATCGATTCCTATGTAATTTTTTACGCTGAATCCGAATGTTTGGTTTCCCAACAAATTTTCCTTGTGCTAACTCCGGAAAATCGGAAAAACCGCGAAAAATCACGTTTTTCCGCGGTTTTNGCGGAAAAACGTGATTTTTCGCGGTTTTTCCGATTTTCCGGAGTTAGCACAAGGAAAATTTGTTGGGAAACCAAACATTCGGATTCAGCGTAAAAAATTACATAGGAATCGATCAGAACCTGATTTCACCTAAATTTTGCAAGGTAAAATCCTTTATTGCCTGGACTAAATATGCTCCGAGTTTTTGCTCACTTTTGTAGGGAAGTTAGTCGATCTTGAATGAATTTCATCTGCCATAAATGCTATGAAAAACTGCACAATTTAAGCAGCATTGCAAGCCTCTTACGCCCTTTTACCGAAAAAGTGTTTACCGAAAAATTTCGTGAAAATTCGTGAAAGTTCACGCGAATAAATTCCATGAAATTTTCCATTCGTGTCTGGGGGTTACAGGAAAGGTGCGCGACTTTTCGAATCACCCTGTATTGTGTAATGAAGGAACCACCAAAATTTGCAGATTTATTCGAACATTTTTCGTGTCCGCGATCTCAGAAAGGCTCCATCCACGGTGCGGCGCAACGCATGCGCACTGCGCAGCGGAGGGTCTTTTACGGGCGGCGTCGTCGCCACTGGGAGCGCTGCACTTTGTTTGATGTCGTAAATTGCAATTTCACGCGAACGGTGGACGGCGGACGGTGGCCCACGGCGAGCGGTCGCCGCGCCGCGCCGCCGCGGACGGAGGACCTGTTTCAGGAAAGGTTACTGCACCTGACCTTGGACTCCTTTCCCAGCAGCTAGGTCCTCACTCCCGAGTCCTCACCAATTCCTGACCCGCTTCCACCGAGAAGGCACCGACGATATTTCGGCACGCTCCACCGGGACTTTCGGTCGATAGAACCGAATTTTCTAAAAATATGAAATTGGGAATTTTCCGTTTGGACCGTGGTATCCATGGCTGGAAACAACCAGGATCCGTCAGAAAATGAAAAATTTTAGGGAAGAAGCGGGGAATTCGTTCCAGGAACCGAGAATCTCTTCTTATACCTCTGTGACGCCATTTTGTCTTATTTTGTGTTCAAATTTTGTGGAAATTTCAAGGATGTGGTTAGAGAGACTCAGAGTTTTAAAGTGAGCTAAATATTGTAGTTCCTAACTGCAAAATATAATAATTCAACTAATAATGTTGAGCTGCGTAGCGGCTGGGAGAAACCGGCACTGCACTTCTGGGTTTCACGCGTAGTTTTTTTTTATTCTCTTAATTTTCCTTGGATGCAAGGAAATTTGAAATTGCTGATATTACAATTTTATAGTTAAAAAAGTGTCCGACAGTAATCACTGTGGATTTTACAATAATAAAATGATATGTACAAATAGAATGTGTGAAAGGAAAATGCAAAATCTTGAAAGGAGTTACGGCGTTTTTGCTATGGACGGCAGTATTGTAAAGTGCACATTTTAAACATTTTGGACATATGTTTTAACAATTTAATTGTTAAGTGAGCAATCCATTTTTCCCCGTGTGGATGATAAGCAGACGGAATGAGATTGGTAGAAGGTAATACTCACCAGAACGCAAAGCTGAGACCTTGTGGTAACGTGGAGCTGGAAATTACGGGCCGGGGTAACGCTCGCCGCGAGACCCATGTTGAGGGATCCCCGACAGGGAGACAGGTTCGAGTACTCGTTCTGCGACTTGTAGTACAGCAGGAGCCGTCCCTCCAGCACACACCACCACCGCCGCCAACGAGTCCCCATCATACCCTGCAAACAATCAATCAATTTATCACGTTTTACCTACACAGTATTTTTTAAGTTCAGTCATACCCACCTAATAGGGCAGTCGAAAATGTTTCATAGGAGGAAGGGTGGAAGGGGCCAACGATGCACCGAGAAAAAGCTTTAAAGTTACAAGCTTTACAAGCTACACAGCTAACACTTAAAAAAATTTCTTCCCATAGCCGAACAACCATAACCAATCTGAGACCATCTGGTCATCTATGAGAGATTTCTAACTGGTAACAACTGGCACCGGTGCCTTTACGCATTTGCCTACTTTCCTTACTCTGCGTTGAAGTCTCCAAACAAATGAACTTGCGAAAAATTGTTAGAACCTATACTTATTCCTAGTGACGCATTCCTCTTGAGAATTGTACGGAGCGTTGACAAGGTGATCTAACTACAAATTAAACCTTAATAAAACCTTCTCACAAAGGAGGAATTGCTTGTTTTCCACATAGATCAACTAAAATTTCTTCCTAGCCGAACAACCATGAACAATTTGAGCTAAACTGCGCATTGAAAGGCGCATAGGAGCGCACGGCGCAATACACAAGGCATGAATTTAAGGATTCTCATGGATGTTGTGTGATCAAAATTACTGTACCGAAAATTACTGAAATTGACTGCTGACTATGATATTTAAAGTTTTTCGATGCGTAAATTTAAACCTCCCGTTTATTAAAAACCAAAAGTCTACATAAATCAAATTGTGCCCTAAACGTTACTTAGATGATTAAACTTTGGGGACCTAAACGCAGGGTAAGAAAAGTAGGCAAATGCGTATAGGCGTCGTTGCCAGTTGTTACCGGGTAAAAACAGTTAATAAAATGCCCCCTTCACTGAGTCTTTCTCTCCTTTAACCCCCGCTCAAGAACACCTCTTCCCACCCCCCTCCCCGTTCGCTCGTTTACCGTCCCGAGCCCACAGTGTAAAGAAAAAAATTAAATGGTAAAGTATTGCAGTTGAATGTAACAACGTAAAATTAACCGTAAATTCTACAATTTCCTGTCTCCGTAAATATATATGTTTTAATTATACGTCGTATATTTTGTAGTTTCTTCTGTATTTAGCATCAGTATAAATGATTATCAGAATCTTACAACATTTTGATGCCGATTGTATTTCAATATTTTTTTCTCCTGTAAATGTTATTTGAATTTGGTTTCTTGATGAAAAAACCATACAGCTTGACAAAGAGTCTAGTTTTTACAGGTGTTTTAGTATAAAATGTGTAAAGAGAAATATTATAACCAAAGCTAATATTTCATGAAATTTTTAATTTGGCGTGAGAAGTTGTCTTTGCGCCAGTAAAAAATTAGATAAAATATCAATCAACGCTCTGTAAAGTGACCTAATCCTAACTATCACGAAGATGGTATAGATCTGGACGCTTCCATCGGGAACCGAATCCGGAACCTCTGGGTTACCAGTCAGACGTGCTGACCGTTAGACCACGGGAGGCCGGCGGATGAAGTTCCCAAAAACCTACACTTTGCTAACCAGCGCCGAAGGATATTCAAAGCACCTATTAGCGCTGGTGCTCGCATCACACCGCTAAAGTTGCGAGAAAAATCGGAGCGCCTTCATTTACCTCTGTATGCAACACGGACATCCTCGGAGCCCGATTAGTTTGCTCTGCTATGTGCTGTCAATTAGGTGTTGCTCAGATTCGGGAGAAAAGTTAAAAAGAGAGGCCCCAATACGTGTTCCCTGTGTTCGGCTGTGTTGATACTTGTTCTTTCTTCTTTTTTTTAGGTTCTTGTCTAATTCTTTTTTAGGATGGATTTGCACACCCACGTATTAAGCTCGTGTAAACCACGTAAACCGTGTGCCTTTAACCAGCCAGGGGTCTACGCCCTTGGATGCGAGCAAGTCAGATCCTGTTCTTATTCTTCAATTTTGATTACCTATTGGGTACAATATTTGATTACCTATATCATAATGTAAGGGGAAATGCTCAGAAAGTTTCAATTAAGACGTTAAGTAGTTCATTCGCTGTCAACTGGACCGCGTTTAGCATAAAGGAACCAATTCATATCAGCGATCGCCAAAAACTGGGCAATCTAATTTTTTACGAGAGAACGTTTGTGCAAATTCCTTTGAAAATGTTAGGGATTGCCTCACACTATGCGGAAAGTTTCCTGAAGTTTGCACAAAAATTCGCAAACCCCTTTTCGTGTAATAAATTAAAATGCCCAATTAAATTTGACAATAGCTGATGTGGCTTAATTCCTTTCTACTTAACGCGGTCTAAGAAATAAAACATGAGAGAAAATTAGAAAATTTAAAGTACAGTTAAGCTCTTCTCTTTTCTGTTTAATCTGCCATTGAATTGTTGATAATTTTTCTCGGAATAGTTGAGTATCGCGAGCCCGTGTGACAGATGCTAATCAGTGTGCTGGCTCGGGCGCATTCGTTATTTGATTTACGACAAAGTGACGTCCTAGCGTCACATAAAAATGCATCGGGGAGTGAGGATTCCGTGTGTAAGGTTCGTCTCGGTCCTGTCTGGGGACAAATTGAAAATGTGAAAGTGACAAGACGCCTTGACCGGAGGACGGGGTTCAAACGTGTCCGCAGGGCCGCAGGCTCCCGATATCCAGGCGGCACGACGCCACGCCACGCCAAGAGGTTGACAGAGTGTACGCCAATAGCACTATTACATCGCTAATTTCCAGTGAAAGGGGCCGTTCATATAATAATTAACGATTTCGGTGGAGTCAAGAAGAGTGCTAAGTATTTAGACTCCATTTTGCAATAAGGAACTACAATTCCTGGCTTATACATAAATACACCTATCTGCATAGGAAAACTGAACCGCGTTAAGTGGAATGGAAAGCCACGTGAGCCGTCGTGTTGCCAAATTTAGTTGGGCAATTTAATTTAATTTTGGCAATTAATTTAATTTAATTAATTTTTTACATGAAAACGGTTGTGCGGATTTGTGGGCAAATTTCGGTGAGTTTTCTGCATAGTGCGAAGCAAATTCCTTAAAATTTTCAAAGGACTCCGCGCAAACTTTCTCTTGTAAAGAATTAAATATTTTCGATTTTGCTGGAATATCGACGCCGTATTGTGCCTACCTACGCCCCGAGTAAACAAATCCTCAAAATGCGACCAGCTGTTTTTTCCCTCTACGACGTCCGTAGAATGTAAGTACTGGAGCATGGAATCCGTAGCTCAGCATACATTCTCTCTCTTCCCCGACGGTGGAGAATGGAGATCCAACTGATAAAGGCAGAACTCTTCAACTGCTGCTCCTCGTCATTTTCAGCAATATATCCTGTCCTCCCTTGAGAAATATTCAAAAGGACATTCATGGTAAAAGGAACTATATAAATAGGGTTTGCGCGTAACATACAGGGTTGACACAGAATTTAGAAAATGAAATTCCCTGAAATTTCCCTGGTTTCCCTAAAACATTTTGCTGGAATTCCCTGAAAATTGTACGTATTTCTATCAAACGGACCTAAGCGCCATAGGGTGAGGAAGGTAGAGGGGGGCTTGGAGTGGCGGCGGAATCGGGCTTCCGGCTTATTCCGTCCTATACTCGCAATGCTTTTCCATGGCGCTTAGGTCCGTTTGACAGAACGCGCTATCCGGGATTCTAAATTCCTCAATAGGAACTCAAAAAGGTGATTTAACAAATGTTCCCTGACATTTCCCGGTTTTCCCTGACTTTTTAGAAATTCCCTGACATTTCCCGGTTTTCCGTGACTTTTTAGAAATTCCCTGACATTTCCCGGTTGTCCCGGTATTCCCTGACTGTGGCAACCCTGAACATAGTTTCTTTCAGCATAAATACGGCCATTAGAGGCTCTTTTCAACGGGAATAGGAGATTTTCTTAACGCGGCAACTGCTGCAGCGGTCTCGCACACTTGATGATGCGCGCTTCATTTGAATTCCGATTGTTTCCTCAATTTATGAGCTTGTCGATACGGACGCGAGAGCNGGGGGGGGGGGGGGGGTCGGATACCCGATCCGCATGGCCCGCTGCGCAGCCTCCGAGGAGGGCCATTCGGAAAGCTCTCCTTTCTCCTCGCGCCGAGACTTGCGGTGATATATCGATTGATCTGCCATTTAAACCGATGGAAAAGGATCGATAGACAGGATGCTCGCGACGAACACCTTAATAATCGATTCTTCACCACAGCTTCAAATGGGGAAATATCGATAATTGATCAACGGGCACCGGCCGAGACACGAGACGGCTTCAGCTTTTTTCCCCGTGGCTTCCTCCTTTCTTCCCAGAAGCCACTTCCGAGACTCCACTCAGAGACGACGCCGATGGCTGTACTACCGCCGTGCTAAGGAAGAACACCGTATGAACATTCGAGAGTTGCCAAATTTCCCTTGATAAAACATCTATTAATGATTGATAAACATCATTTTTGACGACATTCATGCACATTTTTCTTTGAAGTTTTCAGATATTTTAGATTAAATTCCGTACGAAATTGTCTGAAGATTTTGGAAAAAAATATTCACAATTTTCCCAGTGAATTCAGTTTTTATTGAAGGAAATTTGGCAACGTCTGAAGGCTCATGCGGCGTTCTTCCTTAGCACAGCTGTATAGGATCAAACCACGTACCTATATCCCTTTACGACGTTGCAGGCTTCCTATCATATTTTCTTTCGTCTTCGGAAAACTAGTGAACAATTTTTTGTAACCCCCCTTGATTTTTTTTCCTCGTGAGCAGAATATTCTGTATAAATTTCTAATTTTTATTGTTCTTTTCTTTTTTCCTTTTCTCTCGTCGAAAAAGATGGACTCGTGATAATTTTTCCCTTTTAAAAAAAAATTAAAATTTTTGCTATTAAAATTTTTTGGCGTTTTACAGCCTCCGACGTCCATTTCGAAAAGTTTCAAAGAAATGCTTGCTAGTTCTTTTTATGAGATTTGATGAAGTTCATGTATGCCCTTAGCGCGTGCAAAATAAGGAATGAATACATGACATGCAGAAGAATAATAAGAGGAGGAAATAATAAAAAGATACATACCAGTTTTCCCCTTTTCTCCAGATATCCCGCCATTTTGACGCCATGCTGAAGGTTTGTAATTGTTTCAATAGTATCGGCATTTTCAGGCATTTTCAAAGATGTACTATGAACAGAAAATTAAAATTTGATTTAAAACAAAGCGCAATTTTCAAGACAATACTATATCCATTTCATAAGTACCAGTAAAAATTGGGAGGGAAAACAGATATAAAAACTCAGAAATATAGGATTGAATACTTTAAAAAAAGCCAGAGTACAAGGCAATACAGCTACACAGAGACATTTTAACACAATTTATTAATTCGAGAAGCAAAACACTAAATAACCCTAACCTTTGATTGGCGATTTCAAGAATAATGCCAGCTAGTTCTCTTGAAGACATTCAATGAAAAATGAGTGGTGATTATCAACGTCGCAATCGCGGAGGAATGCATTTTCCCAGACTCTTCATTGAATCCCAAGCAACATTCACCGCAAATATATATTACCAAAATCAACACGAAATTTGTGCTGGTTTGTATTTCGCTTTCCATATCAACCAAACGTAACACGAGAACACTAATATTTCTATATTTCTCAGTTTCGTACTGGTGCGCATTAGAGTTTTAAAAATTTATTTTTGACTCTAATTTTAATTTTTGGTATTTCTTGGCTTTGTTTCCCCGCGAAATGGTGTGGACCCAGCACCATGTCTCCACCTTATTTCTATGAGTGTAGAGTTGATAGTGAAAAAGTCTCACTTTGAAACACTGATACCGAAATCATTGGATTACTTTAATTTTTGTTGTAGATATCCTCTAGACAGGACCGCCGCGCCATGGCATATTGTAAGACTGTATTTATAGAGAAATAATAATCTATTGTACATATCACGGAATGATCCTCAGGTTGAGCTGCGGTGTGACCCGGAAGAAGCTCTTCAGGATAAAAAGTTGAGGTCAAAAAGGGATAGAATTGAGTCCCTTTAAAATATTTGTTCGAGTTTACGAATGGTAATGCAAAGCGTCATCAGGGGCCGTCCGTAAATTACGTAACGCTCTGGGGGGAGGGGGCGTTAAGCCATTTTGATTTTACGTGTTAATGGATGGGAACTTACGTCACAAAAGTTACAAGTGGGGGCGAGGGTCAAAAGTGCGTTACGTAATTTATAAACGCTCCCTTTGCTGAGTACGCGAATTCGGAGACTTAAACGAATGTATAAGAAAGTAGGCGATTCTCACGTGCTCAAAAGTGCACTCCCTCGAAATCACCATTTTCAATTGAATTATGTCCAGAATGGAATGGGAAAGCGTCATTAGTTTATTGCGAGTATGCAGAGACTTAAACGAACGTATAAGAAAGTAGATGATTCTCACGTACACAAAAGTGCATTCCCTCGAAGTCACTATTTTTGAATACTAGTACGGGACGGAAACGAGCATAGACTTCAGTTCCTCGTTTGAGAGTTGATTTTTGAGATCTCGCAAATATAGCCTTAACATTTGAATGTTTTTTTAGAGCTATAGTTAAACGGATCAACCGTAAGGAATGTGCATTGGAATGGAGTGCGTGTATGGAATTTTGCACATTCTTTCGGGCGATGCAGAAAAAAAGTTGGGAAATGGATGGAATGAAAGGAAAAATTGACGCAGATTGAAATTCTAAGTAAGGCCGGCAACCGCACGGCCCTAGAGGATTTTTCTAGATTATGCATTCCAGTTTTGGATTTTTCCCTTTTTGCCGCGTGGGTATACGCTGTGTGTAACCATTTCTGCTAATGTATCAAAAGCCCGGGTGGGGGTTGTTTTACCAGTGGTTAACCAGTGCAAATGTGTGTCTCCCTAACTATTAAACCAAGGTGGAGGAAACCAAGGGTGTCACTACCGCGGCGGATGACTCCATTTACAAAATTTTAAAAAAAAATTCAAAGCGCGATATCTTGGTTAACACTGAACGAAGAAAGTTACTCTTTAGACTGATCTCAACATTTCTAGCTAATCTAGAGCATGAAAACGCAATTCTGTGACCAGCGCGACTGACCTATTGAGGGAAAACCAGGCTTTGTTGCTTACGTAGCGCTCCATTCTATAACAGGGAGCGTCATCAGCCTTCACATTGAAATATAGGCAAAAGCATTTCTTCAGTGTTGAAATAGGTGTATGTTCAGTGATAAACACTAAACAGGCGTCTAGGCCTGTAGGCTTCAGGGGTGCCAAACGGGAGCGTTTAAAATTCGAGGAAAAATTGCGCTTTTTGAACTGTGAATTTTTCAGTTTTGTACATAGTTGATTTTCCGCGATTTCATTGTAAGCATCGTATGCTGCGCGTCAGCAAAATGTATACACAAGTCAAAATTCGTTTATGGTTTAGGGTTGTTTCACGATATAACTGGAATAATTTTGTCGCCGTAACAGACAACACATTTTTCGGTCATATTTTTAGTAGAAATGATAATCTCTCGAATTTTTTCGCATTAATCTTCAAAGGGTTACGTATTATAACATTCTCTAATGATTTATTGCTTTATTTCTCAATTAATATTATGTAAATTCCGAGCATGTGCTGTCAGCGTAACAAACAGCACTTTTCCGGCCATTTATATATCAAAACTAAAAAGTAGAGGGATAAATCTTTGAAAAGCGTTATAACACGTAATACACTGTGTAGGTCAATGCAAAAAATTCAAGTGATTATCATTTGTACCAAAAATATGACCAAAAAATGTGTTGTTTGTTACGGCGACAAAACTATTCCAGTTGTCGTGAAAAAACCACCCTTTAGTAAGCGATTGTCGTAGTCTCCATTTTACCTCTTATTTCCTTCGAGTGTGGATAATCAGGCGGCCGGGGCAGGTTACGGCGACGAAGCTGGGGACAGACCCCGATAAAAGCCGGATGCAATTTCACCTGCAAAAGTGCAAGGAGCTGAGCGTATAAAGGGTAGTGGAACGAGCTTAGGATGGATGTCCGGAGCCATCCTCGGAGACTCGCTTCTCTCGCGCGTGGCGAAACCCCCCGATCCAGGTTCCACTCGGCCGGGAGATGAGTTGTTTTGTCCCGCGGGTTGACAAGCGAGAGCTCGGAGACGGTGACAGCCGCCACCGTGAGTGTGTCAGTAAAGTGGTTCGTTTTTTTTTATGAATCGCAGAAACTAGACGCGATCCACCGTGCACGGGGACGGGGAACAATGCGACGCCTCCGGAACGCTGTTGCCGAGCCGGAGCCTGGAAAATGTACACGCGAAAACAACTTCGTCCGTGGAAGCTGTACTTACGGGCTCTATACAGGGTGTATACCAAAAGTCCGTCCCACCCCTGCTAACTTTTGAAGGAATTGAGCTAGGGTAATGAAACTTTGGGAATGTTTCTATCTCAAAGGAGACCATCTTTTGGGGGATCAAAATTTTGATCCTCCCTCAGGGGGGGCGCGGGGGGCCCCCAACTTTTTTTTTTCAAATAGCAACCCCTATCTTGTGATACCTCATTTAAGCAGCTCATAAAAATCATTAAAAACTAAGAATTTTGGCGCAAACCGCAGATCAATATCTTAATTTTTGACCAAGTTATGATAGGTCAAAGGTCATATTTGACCTATTTTCAAAAAATCATAACTCTGGTTCAAATTATCGTACAGAAAAAAATAAAACGGGAAAATTTACCAAATTGTGTTCGCTTTTAAGTAAAAATTGCAGAAGTCACTTTGATTTAATTTTAAGGGGGGGGGGGGCTCGGACCTCCAAATACGTCAATTCAAAGGTCATTCAATTTTCCCGCGAAATAAGCCAATTTCCCCTAGATTTGCCTCCACATTATCTCACTAAGGTCAAAATCAGTTCAACATTACGTTGGCAAGTCCCCAAATTTCGGGAAAAGTTAAAAATAACGAAATTTAAGGTGATTAAATTTGACCGTTTAAATTTAGTTTGTTAATGAGTTATAAGTGGTTCCTTGTTGCAAAATGTGGTCCATTTAAGAGTTGCCTTTCCAAAATGCATGTCACAACTAGTGAACCCGAAATGTTCGTTCAGTCACTCGTAGTATATTCGTCCTCCCAAGCGTCTCTCAATACCTTCCTAGAAGCACCAATCATCGGAAACTTGGTCATTTTGAACGAGTCACATTCTGCTCGCGAAGTCAGCTTTCTTCCTCCATGGGCAAGGAACTGGCCCCGATTCCTCGTCCCTCCGACCAGAGGACTTATCTCGATTTCCTCGTGAGCCCTGTTCTCCATATAACCCCATGCTTTTCAAAGCTCATGTGAAAAGAGAGATACGCGCTTCTGCCAGAGGAGCGAAGAATTGGAGGCACGGGCACGGCACGGGTGACCAAATAAGAAGACACCTGCCTGTCAACAACTCTGCGGCTGGAATCGTCTAGGATTTCTATCAACTGTCCCATCGAGATGCCTTTGAAAAGCTGCTGTCCTGAATCGGTGGATAATCGATTATCGATATTTCCCCATTTCAAGCTACGGTAAAGAATCTACTATTAAGGAGTTCATTGCGGTGAAGTGGCGTTCTTTGCGATATATCGATTGATCTACCATTTAAACCTATGGAAAAGGATCGACAAACAGGGTATTCGCAACGAACACGTTAATAATCGATTCTTTACCATAGCCTCAAATGGGAAAACATCGATAATCGATCATTCAAGCCTCGCCACTGCTTGCGAACCCTTTGTGTATCGATCCTTTTCCATTGGTTTAAATAACGGATCAATCGATGAATCGCAATTCGCAAAGCACGCCATGCCACTTTCCCAAGTATCACCGAGACGCCACATCTCATTGCACTTCCGTCAAGGAATCTCCACATAGGAATAACCACGTGCTGGTTCCGGGACGCTTTTCACTTATACGGCGGTCGGCCTTTTGATTCCCGAGCGGTAAGCATTCGGACACGACTGTCGTGGGGTTGCATATTTGAGCAATTGAAGGCAATTTTTGAATGGGTGTTCAAAGGAAGCGCTTGGAGGAGCGCAGAAGAGCAGTTTTTGCTATTTCGAGTAATGCGTGAATGAAGTTTCTAAATTAAATGGATCTTTATGGCGGGAAGAAAGTTTGAACTGACTTTTTGATTAAAATTTGGAATTCTCGAGTGAGTTTTTCACAGAAAATGCACTAA